AAAATACAAAAAGAGTGTGTTGTGGGGGGGGCAGAGAAATCTGACCAGCCAAGTTCACAGAGGGTTTTATGATGTGTCCTTCTTCCCATTCTTTCTTACTTTTGCAAAAAACAACTTGGCACCAAAGAAGGGCCACTTCCTGGCTACTGTTAAGTAAATGCGCACACAGTCAGCTGCATTGTGTCCCCGGAGGGCCATCCATCTGGTGGAGAGTCGCTGGTAAAGCTGCCTAAAAAAAAAAAATAAATAAAAAGGAACAAAAACAAGACACAAAAGCAAAACTGTAAGTATGGAGTCATCTTCCTAGACCAAGTCCCCTTCAACTCATGCCAAACCTCCTTAGCCCCCACCACAACTTTCTGGTGAATTTTCACCAAATTCTCCCACCACATTCAAATGTACAACACAACCTACCAAGTAAATCTTTATCATCTACAGGGTTAACATTAAACCTAAGTGTAAGTCAGTTTGCCAGGTAATTTCTCCTGAGAGAATTTTCACTTTTCAAAGTTCGGAGGAGCCCAAATGTTACAATTTGGAGGAATGTTGCTTCTCAGACTGAGCCCAGCGGCAACCACTTCCACTACATAGGCAAAAGCTTCTTTATTATCAGGGTTAACCCAGGATCAAGATCAGACGACACAGTGGTCTTTTTATTTAAAAAGTTCTTTTGAACTGGACGTGGCGGTACATGCTTATAATTTCAGCATTTTTGAGGAAGAGGCAGGAGGGTCAGATGTTTAAGGTCATCTTCAGCTACTTAACAAGTTTGAGGCTAGCCTGGGCTACACAAGACTGCCACCCCCATATGTAAGCTTATTTATGTCATCATACAATGAATATATAATATACTTCAAGTATCATGCCACAGGTGACAAATAGATTCTAAAGTTTTGAAAGACATCTTAAAATATGTAAAGTCTCTTGGGGACACATTGGAATTAAACATCCCAAGAGAAGATTCAAACAGAAAACTTTACTAAAATGCTAGCATAACTCTACCCTCCAAAGAGCTGAAAATAGCGTCTTACCGTAACTGTTCTTCAGAGCAGCTGTCCCTGTACCTTTTAGGGTAAAATTTTTCTATGACTTGTTTGAGGTTTTGGCTTGCTTTGCACTGGTTAGTCACATGCCCGGCTGGAGTTGAGAAAGGTCTCTCAAAATCTCCAATCTCCACCTGGTGGGAGAGCCCCCAAAAGAGAAGACACAAGACAGTGAGAACAGGAGAACAGCTTTCACACAGAAAATCGCTTTTGGTCTTCGGAAACATTCTCTGTGATCGACAAACACAAGTCTTCCTGTTACAATTTCGAGGCTATAAAACTTAACAATCATACATCTGAGCTGTTTTGTTTTTGTTTTTGTTTTTTTTTTTTCGAGACAAGGTTTCTCTGTGTAGCTTTGGAGCCTATGCTGGTACTGGCTCTGTAGACCAGGCTGGCCTGGAACTCACAGAGATCCGAGTGCTGGGATTAAAGGAGTGCGCCACCAATGCCCGGCCTGAGCTGTTGTTTTTAACAGCAGGAGCAAGGATAGGTGGGGCTGGCAGGCAGAGAGGATAAATACGAGGAGAACTGAGGAGCAAGAGGACAAGGAGAAGAGGATGTCAGGTGCTAGCTGCCAAGCCAGCCATGGAGTAAGAAGGATAGTAAGATAATGGAGAAGAAAAATAAAAGCCCAGAGGGAAAGGGTAGAAGAGTTCATTTAAGAAAAGCTGGCTAGAAATAAGCCAAGCTAAGGCTGGGCATTCATAACTAAGAATAAGCATCCATGTTTGATTTATTTGGGAGCTGGTTGGTGACCCCCCAAAAGCCAAAAGAGTAAAACATTGCACAACACAGAATATTCTATCACAGCAACAGAGAAGAAACTGAAACACCCCCTCAGTAGTATTTGCTAAAAGAAACAGCTTGAATACTGAGTGTTACACAAGATAGTCTTTCATTGTAAAGTCCTATTTTAACCATTAGTAAATAAGGTGAAATGACATTTAAAAATAAAAGGTGAGAAAAAGACTAAAATTTGGCAACAGTATTAGTTGGCATTTTTAGGGATCTATCGCATACAACGGTGGTAAGGGCCACACAGTCTCTTACTTTCTCCCTAGATTTTTCTCTACGAACACTTCTGTTCTCACCAACTCTTCCAATTAGTGGATTACTCTGAGGACAGCCCTCTGTTCCCTGCTCTCCTTTCCTTACAGACCACGAAGAAGCCATCCTCAGTCTACTTATCCACGAATCCCTCTCCTGGCTCACCTACCAATCTCTGCAAACTTATATTCAGTCTCCAGTGTCAGTCAGGTGCTACAGTCAATGCTGAGAGAGGAAAAGTTGAGCATTGTTTCCACCTTCAATGAGTTTACCATCTGGGAGGGGAGACTGAGGCAAAAACAAATACTATGAAAAACAATAACATGCCTCGTATAGGATACCAAAGGGTGCTCAAGGAGGATGTCGATGAGGGGAACATTTGGATGATGCCTTACTAAACATATCATTACCCATACTACCTCCCAACAAGCAGATGGAGGTTCACCAAGCCCCGGTGGTCTTACACAAAGTGCTCAAGCTCTATTTTAAAGGTTCCCTGCTTCAGTTTAGTGAGTGTCCACAACCAGCCTACAGGTTCTGAGGCTATGAGCTCGTTCTATGCCTCCTCTTTTCTAATTCATAAGCTCCAAGTTGCTGTCTGGACGTTAGCCAATTTCTGCCCTTCCTGCCTGTGTGAGTATAACTTTCTAGGTTCTTTGACTCCATGTCTGCTTGTTGGTTGAATATAGCTTTGCTCTTTAGATATCATTTCTCTTTGTTCCTGGTTTCTAACAGTTCCTACCTCATGGGTCAAGAACTTCCCTAATGTCCTCACAGTATCTAAAAGCTGCCTTCCCAACCACACCAAAATCCTTTCCACAGGCCAAGTTTGTGCATTGCTTTTGCTATCACCAGGGAGCACTCACAGAGTTACTACACAAACTAGAGCAGCCCATAGCCTCTGAAGTGGTAGACAATAGACTATCAACCATAGTAGACCATTCAAGGTAGCCTTCTCCTTCGGGAACCTTTTATGCCTTGTTCAAGTTCAGTAACCCCCTATCTGGTACCTGACATACCAAATAGCATATCAGTGATTGGAGACAGTCAACTCAGATAGTCCCCAACATGCCCCCACATGTTAGAAATACATATTCTTAAGAGGTAGATTTAGGGGCTGGAGGGATGACTCAGAGGTTAAGAGCACTGGCTGCTCTTCCATAAGAACCCAGGTTTGATTCTTAGTACCCACATGGTGAACCACAACCATTTATAACTCCAGCCCCAGAAGATCTGACATCCTTTTCTGGCCTAGGACACAGCATGCATGTAGCACACCCAGACATAACAGTCAGGCACAACCTCATACACATAAAATAAAAATAAAATCTCAAAAAATGAAGGTTTAGGGGGCTAGAGAGATGGCTCAGAGGTTAAGAGCACCTGCTGCTCTTCCAGAGGTCCTGAGTTCAATTCCCAGCAACCACATGGTGGCTCACAACCATCCTTATGAGATCTGGTGCCCTCTGGTGTGCAGATATACATGGAAGCAGAATGTTGTGTACATAATAAATAAATAAAATCTTTAAAAAAATGAAGATTTAATTTTTATTAGAGACATTTTTTACAGACAAAATTAAAAGCCAAAGAAGATAAGTGTTAGTAAAAACGAGAGTGATTTTCATGGGGAATTTATGCCCCTGGAAAGGTGACCCCTAGAATGGCAAGCGGCACGGGACCTCTCTGCCTAGAAAGTAACAGTCTCATCCCTTCTTTCAGTCTTTACCATTTGTAGACAAAGAACACTGAGTGCAGCATGTTCAGATGATCTTAAAACACTCTAAAAGTAAACTCAATGACTGTCCATTCTTCCAAGAACAAAACTGCTCATGGGAAAGACTGCTAAGCAGGAGGGACAGGAACAATGGTGGCCTTGGGGGAGGCCCCAGTCAATGATGCAAAGCAGAGCCAGCCACGAGTGATCATGAGCCGCCAAGGTCAGGACTGTAATACCCAAGTATAAAACATCACAGAAACTCCCCAGGGGGCCATTTAAGCCTCCAGAAAAGATTCAGAAAGGTTCCTTGGTATAAATACACCTACAAGGGAAGCTAAAGGACAAGATGAGATTAGCAAGGGACAGGACAGAGGCTGAGCCATTCCAGACACCTGAGACAATCACTTAGATTAGTAAAGTCTAGAAAGGAAGCAGGTACCTTACACAAGTGAAGGATTTTGCACACACCCAAGCTCCACACAGGAAGAGTTAAGGATGTTGAGGCAACCAAAGTAGCAGCCAAGGGTAGGTCATGAACGACCCTGGATGTGAATGAAGAGGTGACATTTGGCTTTTGTTGTCTCCCTCTCAGGTACTAATGCTGTGTAAACAACTCTCCCTGGGCAGGTGACACTTTGCTGGCTTCCGGTCTCCGATCTATGGAAAATGGCAAATTCTCCTCCCTGTCTCTTTTGGAGTATGACTTTTGCCACTCAACCACCATCCTGGTTGGAAGCTCAAACAGCCACAGGAAACAGAGATTAAATGCCTTTTGCATATCTGCTCAATTTATTTTTGGAGTCCTTTTAATTGTTGTTACTGTGTGCTTTTCTGTTTTGTTCGTTTTTTACAACAGGGTCTCAGTAGGTCTCACAGGTTGTCCCGGAATTTACCTTGAACCTGTGATCTTTCTACCTTTGCCTCTCAGGTGCTAGGGTTATAAATTACAGGCATTCCTCACCGCCACACTCAACTCAAAATCATTTGCCAGGCAGCAATGGGTAACTGGAAAAATCCCTCTGGCAGCTGTGTGAAGGATGACTCTGTGGGGGGACCACCCGAGAGAAAGGCATATGGTCAGAAGGTAAGAGCAAAGGATGTGAGGGAGGTCTGAATCACAGGAATGCAAGTCAAAACAGAGAGTGGTGAGCAGAGGACCAAATGTGAGTCTAAAGTGAAAAGAGTTTAACGTGACCAGTGTGAAAGGGGAGAGAACAGGAAAAGGCCATGACAATTGCTAGAGTGGAACCCAGGAGGGAGGACTTCCTGGAGTGGAACCCGGCGGGGGTGGGAGGAGGATTAAGAGGGATAGAATTGTGATGAAGATGTACAATGTGGAGAAAGGGGAAGATAACTAATACACTTTTCAATGGGCTGGATTTAAGGAGTGATGGGGGACATCCTCCAGTATATATGTTTCTCGTATTGGTTGATGAATAAAACACTGTTTGTCCAATAGAGGCAGGAAGATAGGTGGGACTGGGAGACAAGGAGGATCCTGGGAAAGGTAGGCAGGGAGAGACCAGGAAGAGATGTCATGTAGCCGAGGAAGGAGTAGATTTATAGAAATGGGTTAATAATTAAGACAGAGCTAGCCAATAAGAAGTCCTAGCCATTGGCCAACAGATTAATAATTAATATAGTGTCCGTGTGTTTACTTGGGGCTGAGAAAGGTGGCAGGACCTGGTGGGAAAGAGAAGCTCCAGCAACAAAGGAACCCATTAGAAAGACATGAACTGTAGTGAACAGACTTGGGGATCATCGGTGTGGGTGGTGGCTGATCCAAAAAACAAATGAGATGTCCGAGGGTGATGTGTAGGGTGAGAATACGTGGACCAGAGACCCAGGGAACCCAAGTATCTGTCCACTTGGCACTTCCTGGGGAAGCTTTTATCCCCCTACTTGATTATCCTGTGCAGACTCCCCCCTCTTGCGTATGATTACCTTAAATGACCTAGGCCTGCGGCTGCCTGGACGGGACTACCTCCCAATCTCCTACATAGGTAGCCAAGACGACATGTTGGTCTAACCAGGGGCTTAAATGAAAAGGTCTGTGTAAGTTATGAGAAAATTTCCCAAAGCCAGGTAGGCATACCCTTCTCAATTCCCCCAACCCCTCAACTTCTGGAACATGCTGGGACTCTAATAGACCTCCAGGACCATGAGGATGACATCGATGGATGGCAGAGTGGGTAGAAGGACCAAGTCCTCATGGATCTGTAGAGTAATCAGGATGTAATATTCACCTTGTGAGAATCAAACTTTTTCTTTTTCTTTTGGGATAGGCTCTTGCTAATGTAGCCCAGGCTGGCCTTCAACACATGAGCACTCTAGCTCTGTCCAAGGGGCATGCCTATTAGATTGCAGTTTGCACATAAAGTCTTTAGGACCACCAGTCTACACTCAGATCCCTTCCTTCATTAAATGCAAAGCCTTGAGCAAACTTTTTGAAAGAAGCAAAAAATTCATTTCCCTTTATGGAGTGTAGTGTCTCACCCTATGCTACCACAACAGTCAGGGGTCGGAAAATAAAAATGTAATAATAATGTCTTCTTAATCACAATAAAATGAATCGAAAGCCTCACTGAAGGCATCCTGTCTTGCTGCATTTAACCGAAGAAACTGGCATCTTCCTATCTTCTTATGCTGTTCTATACAACATGGAGGAAGTTACCTGAGCTAAAAGCGCTGCCATCTCTAATGCCAGGTCCTTGTTGAGTGGAAAAAGGCCATTTATTATCTGATCATTTGTCTGGTACAGCAACAGCAGTTTCTCTCTGTCAGTCTCTCCACGAGTTTGCACTGAAAAATACAGTCTGGAAAAAAAAGAGAAAAAAGTGCCTCATGATACGCTTATTTTTTTAATTAAAAATCCCACATTTACTGTGTGTGCATGTATGTACGAAAGCGGAGGAGGTGTGTGTGCATGTGTGCCACTGTACGTGTGTGGTCGGAGAACACTGTGTGGGAGTTCTCTCCTATACTAGTTCTGAGGATCAAACTCAGGTCATCAGGCTTTGTGGCAAGTGCTCTTACCCATCTCACTGTTGTCCTGCCCCCCACTTCCTTCCCTGATAGAGACAGAACCAAGTATAAGCAAGGGCTCAGCCTCTGAGCTCTGCTACATGATACAAACAGATTGATGCCATCTGGGAAACATGAGCCAAACTGCTTGGAAGTAGAAGAACCCTTGTATTTAAATTAAATTTTTAAAACTATATTGAAGCACTAAGTCACTGTGATGGTTTGAATTTGAATGGCCCCCATAAGCTCACATATTTGAATGCTTCCCCACCAGGGAGGGGTACTATTTGAAAGAATTAGAAGTATTAGGAGGTATGGGCTTGTTGGAGGAAGTGTGGCACTGGGGGTAGGCTTTGAGGTTTCAAAAGCCCATGCCAGGCCTAGGTGCATTCTCTCCCTCCCTCCCTCCCTCTCTCTCTTTCTCTCCTTTGCTTTGGGATCAAGATATAGATCTAAGCTACTTCTCCAGCACAACCCCTGCCTATAGTCATGGTCCTCACCACAATGATAATGAACTAAGCCTCTGAAGCCCTAAGCAAGCCTTCGATAAAATGCTTTCTTTTGTAAGAGTTGCTCTGGTCATAGTGTCTCTTCACAGCAATGGAACAGTGACTAAGATAGTCCTTAAATGAACTAGAAGGGGCTAAGACTCTGAGTGACATTAAATTTATGGCTCCCACTCCCCGTAGGAATGCAGGATACAACAAACTCTTCATTCTAATTAACCGAATAAACCCAATTTTCACCACATAATCTTTTTCAACATCTTGGACATGCTAAACAAAGAAATTAGGGATTCAATAAAAACAACAACAACAACTCCAATTAACATCAAATGTCAGAGGAGGCTTTTCACTAGATGTCAAGAAGATAATATTTGTACATTCAGGTCTGTTTTGATTTTTTTTTTTTTTTTGGTCACATGCAGATGAACATTTTTTTGTTTTGTTTTGATTTTGTTTTTCGAGACAGGGTTTCTCTGTGTAGCTTTGGAGCCTGTCCTGGCACTCGCTCTGGAGGCAAGGCTGGCCTTGAACTCACCGAGATCCGCCTGTCTCTGCCTCCCCAGTGCTGGGATTAAAGGCATGCGCCACCAACACCCGGCCACAGATGAACATTTTTATTTTATGTTATTTTTGGTTTTTCAAGATAGGGTTTCTCTGTATTGCTTTCAAGCCTGTCCTGGAACTCTCTCAGTAGACCAGGCTAGCTTCGAACTCACAGAGATCTTCCTGCCTCTGCCTCCCGAGTGTTGGGATCAAAGGCGAGGGCCACCATTGCCTAACTGCAGATGAACATCTTTAAGAAGATCACAAAACAATACCCTCTCTTATTCCTGGTGGAAACAGGACATGGGCTTTCTGTTAGCTTTGAGATTGGAGTCTCTGTGTTGCTGAAGCTGGTCTTTGGGTGGCTTCAAGGGATATCTGCACCTTGCCCTCGTGAGTAGCTAGGACAACTATGCTCCACCATGCCTGGCTTGTGGTGTGACTTTTGTTTGTCCAGGCTGGTGCTGTGGGCACAAGTGTTATGGAGCAGATAAGCAACACCCTGGCAAGCCTGAATGCTGTGATGACAACACAGTGGTGAGGGAGGTGACATGTGTATACAAATCAGGCATTATGCTGGCCTGCCCCTGTCACCTGGCAGAATTCACTCAGGCAGTGCCCTGGTCAGCCCAGGGTTCCATGGGAACTAAGTCTGCGCGCAGGTGCAAAGGACCCCTTCAAAAGACAGACCCCCCTGACCACTTACACCCTCTTCTCCTGTTCTCCCACCCACACCCTCTTCTGCCTTCCTCTCTTCTCTCTTACTCTCTGCTCTGTTCCTCCATTTCTCCCCTTCCCCCACCTGTAATAAACTTTGTTTAATGTACTCTCCATGGTTCGTGTTCCTTAGAGCGCACCTTTAATTTAAGCAGAAATCTAACAGTTACAGCATCTCTCTCTAAACATCAGGACATGAGAGACCAAAGGGCTGCAACCTGGAGAAACATGGCGAGTGTTCTCCGTGAAGCCTGTCCTACCCACAGTTCTGACTATCTTCCTGCCAAGCCGGGCAGACAACCAGAGATCTTTCTAGAAGTCAACCAAAGCCCCATTTCCATCCAAGATGGAAAATGCAGGATTGCATTTTCCAAAGACAAAAATGCAGGATTGTTAAGCAGACCGGAAGATGTAGCTGAACAACAGACATAGACAATACATGGTATGACATGAAGATTGAGAGGTTGAAGATGAAAGGTTTTACAAAGGGCCCATTTCCTCACTGAAGTAAGGAACTACACGGTTCATCCTCGAGATCCACCAGGAAATGGGAAAGTTCAGCCTGGGAAAGAAAAGTGAAATGCTTCAACAAAGCAGGGAATACAATCCAACACATGCATAGTCCTGGAATCCAGTATGTAGGAGGGCAGGCTCAGACTCCTAGGAACTAGACAAAGTTCCTGAAGAACAAGGAAAGCATTGCAAAGACCAAGAAGAGTCTCCAAGTCAAAGCAGGAAGCCCAGCCAGGCAGGGTGGTGCACACCTGTAATCCTTGCCCTCAGTAAACTTGAGTTCAAGGCCAGCCTGGGCCACACACTGAGATCCTGTCTTTAAGAAAAAGGTCTTGATTGTGGAGTCTTTAAAATGTGAGGATCACTAGAAGAAATAGGATAAGCTAGATGATCTAAGACCCTTGTTGACTTAGGAGTCAAGGATGCAGGTCAAGCCTCTTATAGCCGGCTAACTGTGGAGGTGAGAATGTTAAACTACGTTTCAGAAAACAGCAACTACAAGTGTTACCGAAAATAATCTTGGATTTCAAGTAGGGGGAGGAAGAACATTCCTTGCAGGAAGAATCTTGCCAGTTTGCTTTGTTAAAAACCACACCTTGACTTTTGCAATCTCAAGCATACAGCAAGAAATCAAATAAAATGAGAACCTTTCTATACAAGTTAGAATTGAAACGCTAGTTTCCAAGCGACCGTGTCTGAGAGTGTGTTCAAAACCCGTTAATTAGACCTCTGATGCCTGAGTCAAAATAATTAAAATTCCATAACTTGCTAAATATAAATTTTAGATTCCATGATGAAGGAAAATCGGTATTTTAGGCCTAACAAAGCAAGTTGGCAGACGAAGAATCAGATCTCTGGCGGCATTACAGGTCACGGCTAGTTCCCCTCCTGATTGTGCCACTGGGAACTAGGGCTCATTGTCTAAGCTATTTATAAACATATGCAGAGTATGGCCATATTTAGAAGCAGTGTCCTTTCTCATAGCCATGTCTCTCCAGGTTTTTCGGACTGTGTAAACACTAACTCTTGTTTTGAGTTGGTTGTTGTTGTTCAAACAAGGTAGTTTCATCATGCTTCTCTCTCTCTCTCCTAGTGATTTAAGGCCTTAAAGGCATTCTTCTTTATTTTTAATGATTTATTTATTATGTATATAGTGTTCTGCCTGTATGTATCCCTGTATGCCAGAAGAAGGCACTATATATATATATATATATATATATATATATATATATATATCTGATTATAAATGTCTGTGAGCCATCATGTGGTTGCTGGGAGTTGAACTCAGGGCCTCTGGAAGAGCAGCCAGTGCTCTTAACCACTGAGCCATCTCTCCAGACCCCTGAAGGCATTATTACCTGTAGGTCTTTCAAATCACCCTTGTCCATTTCACCCAAATTTAATTTAGGTTCCAACCACAGCCATTATAACCAGAATTGGTAAGTGTTAATCAACCATAAGGTACTAATTATTAAGAATTGTCTTAGACATGGTGGTCTTTCCATTTTGGTCCAACGAAATCAAACTGAATCTTGACCTAATGACAAAGAGATCAACAGATGGGGGCAGCAAAATGAGAAGCTTCAGATCAGTACTTCTCAGGCTCTCGGGGTGTCTGAATTATCCAGAATGCTGCTCAAACTCAGATTTAGCTTTAGCTTTAGCCACTCTTGCCAGTCACCAAACAGCCAGAGATGCAGGCTATCATCAAGAGAAACATCAGTGATACGACTTAAAGACACCCTAAAGACTCAGTTCACTACAGCAAATCCCCGGGGGTACACTTCCTACTCCCAGGAATAAGTCATTTATCAGCCTGTGTCATGTAGGGCATGCTGGGCATATGACATCATCAGCCTGTGACATGTAGGGGGTGCTGGACAGATGACATCTGGGGATCCACTCAAGGGTGGAATCACCTTACACCCTAAAAGTAGAGACAATAGCTACTTGCAAAATGAAGTCTCTTAGGTCAAGGGACAGCCTGGAAAACCAATGTATTACACAATTATTATGATGGCTAATCTTGCTTGTCAACACTTGTTAGAGAAAACCTCGATGGACGGATTGCCCCCATCAAATTGGCCTGTGAGCATGGCTGTGGGCATTTTTCTTGATTGTTAATTGATGTAGGAGGGCTCAGCCCTCTATGATTGGTGTCAGCCCTGGCCAGCTGGGCCTGGGCCCTATAAGAGATGACTGACCAAGAGCTTGGAAGGGGGCCAGTAAACAGCTTCAAGTACTTGCATTGAGTTCCCGCCATGGCTTCCTTTGATAATGGACTGTATAACCTGAACTCCTTATTCCCCAAGTTGCTTTCAATTTTGGTATTTATCAGAAAGCAAACTAGAACACCAATACTTCGAGGTTACCTCGCAGTTCACAAGTTGGGCAAATCCTCATGTTCACAAGCTCCTGAGTAAAGAGGCTCCCATAGGTGACAACTAGCATTGGTTCCCATAAAAGGGGTGTGGTGTCACACACCTTTTTAACCCCAGCAGTCGGAGGCTGAGACAGGCGGATCTCTGTGAGTTTGAGGCCAGTCTGGTCTACAGAGCAAATCAGAGACAGTCAGAGCTGTTACACAAAGAAACCCTGTCTTAAAAAAGGCAAAATACAAAACAAAAACAAAAACACCCCAGAAAATGTGGTTGTGGGGGTGGGGGGGTCTGTTCAAGCAGAAGGTGGCCAGCCCCTGGTGGTTGAGTGTGTCAAGTGCAGTCTAAAATGGGATTCATCACCTTAATTCAATCATTTTCTTATTGAGTAAGATGCAAGCTCTCTTTGTTTTTTGGTTTTTTTTTTTTGTTCACTATTCCAAAAATATGGAAAGAAACTGGGCCACCCCAGAATATTCTGTCCACTTACGTGGGTATTTTTGTAGGGTAAATTATTAAAAAGAAATATTGAACTAGATGAAAGGCTGTCCTGGCCTTTTTATATTATACAGTGCCTTCACTTCATACATTCCAATGCTAAGTCTCTGAAGAGCTTCCAGAGGCAATTCTCAAAGAATTCAGCGTTATGCCAGTAACTCCACCAGGTTCTTGGCCTGATACTTTATAGATGAATTTATGAGCTATGAGACTCAAAAAAAAAAAAAAAAAAAAACTAGAAAAACATCTTTTCTGGAGGAACATTTAAAGTGAAGTAGTCTAGTTCAAAGCCATCTTCTGCTAAAACAGGTTAAGAAAAAGTATTTGGGAAAGAATGAAAACTGCGTTTCTGACCGTGTGCCAAAGATTGTTATAAATTTTATCTATTGAGAAGGCTCATACGACAGCACCACTAGCCGTTTCCTGACACGGACTGTTAGCCTCTCTCCATGGGTGCTAGCCTCTCCTTCAGAGATAGTTTGCAAAGTTCCTGTTCTCCACCTCTTTCTGAACTTAGCAGGCTCCAGGCTAGGTCAGGCTCATGCTGTATGCTTTCATAGAACTGTGCTAGCTTAATGTGTAATGATATATTTATTAGAGTGGAAATCTTACCTAACTTGGAAATTCCAAAAGGTCAGAGACCCGCTCTTCGTCTGTCCTCATCACCATTTTACCCTGAGCACCTATCTAAGCAAACAGCTTACAGCTGAAGGGGCTGGCAGAAGAGTGTGGAGGACAGAAGGAGACAGAACGCAGAGAAGGTAGAGAGAATGAGAATTAGAAACAAAGCCTCATGTGGCAGTATCTCCCAGAACAGAGCTATTATTTATGGGATATAGGCACACGTGTAAATAAGATGACTTCCAAGGCCAGTGACTACAAAACCAGACTGCAGGCCCATGGTTTGGACACGCTACACACTTGGCTCTGCCATGCAGCTCCAGTATTCCATACCTGTTTTTGTAAGTCAGACGGACAGTCCTTGTACCCTCACACTTCCCAGACTGCTGTTCTTTGGATGCCTGTTCCCATTTAGAAATAATGTCGCAGATCTAGGAAGGAAACAGAAAGCTGAGATCCATGGGACTTTTAAAATCAACATTTGAAAAAGACAAGAGTGTTTGTGAGTTCAGACAAACAAACCAAACTCACTGGAGCCTTTTGGTTTTAGCTTCTGTAGAGCTCTGTGCTTAGGATTTAATGATAGATACATTGTTTTTTCGGTCCACTTGTCAAACTGGACACACATTAATTTTGGACTGTGGCCACGCAGTTTTACTCAGAAAGGAATCTTAATGCAGGATTGCATGGGGATTTCAGGGATTTTTTTTTTTTTCATGATTTGGTCACTGAAGAAGCAATTTTTTCCACCTTGTAAATTTACCAAGATTGGAACAACAAGGTACCCCAAAGAAGTCTGAGACAAACTCCACACTGGCTGCTTGGTGTAACCAGGACCTTTTTTCCCTTTATTTCCTCACTCACAAAATAAGTGGACTGTATCTCTAAGGTCCCTATAGTTCAGTAACTCTATATTTCTAATTGTTGACATCATTCCATGAAAACTTTGTTTTTAACCATGAGCTAGAAGAAGGATATTTTAAAATATCTTTTTCTGTGTTTTCACTGGTTCGTTTCCTACCAGACTGCAGTTCAGTTCTTCCCCAAGGCCCAGTTCTGAAATTTCCTGCTATGCAAAGGGTCATAGCCCTCTTAAAACATGTGTCACCTTCAATTGTACTCTAAGATGGTCAGTACATAAATTTGCTTTTTTCTAAGCAAACTAAAGTCCTCTGTGAGCAGAAGCCTTATCTGACCCTTTAGCCCTCAGGATACTGGGAACAGCTGTGAATGAAGGCAGTGGGGGCAGGGCTCCGCATCTTCATTCTTTTCTGTTAGTTTGTTTTGTATTTTGTGTGTGTGTGTGTGTGTGTGTGTGTGTGTGTGTGTGTGTGTGTGTGTGTGTGTGTGTGCACGTGCGTGCCTGTATGCATGCATGAAGGTTAAAGGACATCCTGTGGAAGTCAGTTCTTTTCTTCCACCATGTGGGTTCCAGGGACCCATCTCAGGCTTGGCAGCAAACATCTTCACCCACTGAGCCATCTTGCTGGCCCACCATTCTTAGTACCCTAATATTTATAATATAATTACAGTTAATACTCTTTTTCCCTCTGTTAACACAGCTTGTGTATGTAGATTACATGCTAAGAATTCTATGTGTCACCCCCCCCAAAAAAAAAAGGAAGGAAGAAAAAAAATTCTACAGCTTCGCCAAAATTTGGCAATTTTAAATAATGGTACCGATTGGGTTTCTTACATTTTTGGACAACTCCTGACCTAAACTTGTACAGACTAATAAGTCTTTTGCTATTTTTATTGTTGTTTTGTTCAGTTTGGCTCCTTTGAAGAATGAGATTTCACCTTGATATTTCCCTGAAGACAATGCTCCAGGTCTCTGCCAGAAGGGTCGTCGGTGAACAGTGCAAACCCAGACTGTGCTGGCTTCCTCATTCCCGTGTCCTGGTTCAAGGTATTCAAAAATTCTTCCACTGTGGTGGATGCATCAAACCCAACTACCTAGAGGAAGATAGCAAGACAGTTCTCTCAATGACACACACACACACACACACACACACACACACACACACACACTGAACAGGTCTCAGGGGAGGCGAGGTGCACTTGATGCTTGACTAATGGTCGTGTGTTTTTCCAGGTACTTTAACTTTCTTTTTTTTTTTTTTTTTGTTTTTTGAGATAGGGTTTCTCTGTATAAAAATCCTGGCTGTCTAGGAACTTGGTTTGTAGACCAGGCTGGCCTCCAACTCACTGAGATCAATGTGCCTCTGCCTCCTAAGTGCTGGGACTAAAGGCATGTGCCACCACCACCTGGCGAACTTTTTGTTCAGCACTCTGCTGGAGAAAAGTAGTCAACTTTGGTAGTCAGCTTGCTATAAAAATCAAGAAATTTCAGTGTCAGCCAACAGACAGACAAGAATTCAAAACAGAAAGGTCGCTTGGCAGTTTTTGATAATCATGTAGAGATTACAATTAGGCTTACCCATTAGAAGTAAGCTAAGAAACACAGTACAATATGCAATCAACATGCACACGAAAGAAAATAGGTTCATTTTAATAAATAAACACCTTTATGTATTTAATGTTTATTCTTTAAAAAAAACACCACATTTATTTGGTGTGTGCGTGTGGCATGTGTCACTTCCAGTGTTTGGAGGTCAGAGGAGAACTTTTGAGTGTGGGTTCTAGGAATTGAGCTCAAGATGAAAGGCTTATGGGGACAAAGAGTTGAATGTGGGTTTGTTTTTCCTGTCTCTCTCTGTCTACCAGCTTGGCTGTCCCAGAGATCTGGTCTCTGTAGGCCAGCAAACCCACCTGATAGATCCCATTCATGAAGTGCACGGGTATGCTGAAGGGCAGAGAATGATGGTACGGGTTACGAAGGAGGGTTGAAAGGATCTCCATCCGAGAGGGTCTCGCCTCCCGGTCTCCGTTTTGTTGTGTTCTTTCCACACAACGCTGGCAGTAAATGGCATATTTCCCAAATTCTGTCCTGTAATGCAAAACTTAAGATAAAAATCTAAGGATAAATTTAATTAAGACAATCTAATATGTATGATTTTCACAGTAATATCAAACTGTTGGGATGTTTATGGGACTCCACTTTAAATTTGCAATGAACTCAATATTCCTATGAAGTTTCTAAAAAATATTTCTGCATTGCTATAACCACACACTGATTTAAAGTTACCAGTAATTAGACAATCAATATATGATTACTATGCTAACATATTGAAAGAAGATAATGCATAAAGAATAATATGCTGGGCTGGAGAGATGGCTCAGAGGTTAAGAGCATGGGCTGCTCTTCCAGAGGTCCTGAGTTCAATTCCCAGCAACCACATGGTGGCTCACAGCCATCTGTAATGAGAGCTGCTGCCCTCTTCTGGCCTGCAGGCATATATGCAGACAACATGCTGTATACATAATAAATAAATAAATCTTTTTTTAAAAAAAGAATAATATGCTATAACAAAACTAAGGGACAGAGGTCTCCACATTGACCCCAAGGCCTCAGGCATAGCAGGCAAATACTCTACCTAAGTCCCAGCATCCTCTTTTGAAGATCATGCACATTACTCCACTGTTAGACAAGGTAAGAAAATGCCTTCAAACAAAAAGCATATCCTATAAACAATACACTAAGCAAAACCATCCAAGTACATAAATATACAAGTGGGATGGAGATTTTTATATACAGCAAAAGGTTAAACACAAATTTTAGTTTGAGTTAGAAGATAACATTTCTAAATACATTTATTTATATTCAAGTGATTTCCACACTCAGTGGTGTCACCCTTTTGTCAGGGGCTCCTCAGTCATTATCATCTCTGGACTGCGGGGTGTTTTCCTATTGTCCCAAGCTGCTCCTTGTATGTTTGTTTGTGCTAGTCACAAGGTCTAGTTAGCACTCCAACACAAACCTCTTGGGCTGGGGTGTGCTTCAGGAGGTAGAGCACTTACCAAACATTCACAAGGTCCTGGGTTTGAGGCCCAACACAACCAATCAAGCAAACAAAAACACCTAACATAAACCTCTCTTAGCTGACAAAATGAACCCAGAAAAGCCTTGGCCAACTGCCTTAGACCCCAGTCTAAAAAGATCATTCTGATAATTTGATATTAAATATGTTTTTAAGAGAATAAAAAAAAAACAATTCTAATACAACTTTTAAACAAAGGAAGACCATGGAGGAAGACTTCCACAAAAAGAATACAATGTGGATAAAAGCAGTTAGTTCAGTGGTAGAACGAAGGCCCTGGGTTTGGTCCTCAGCCCTGGAAAAAAAAAAAAAAGAAAAAAGAAAAAAAAAAAGACAAAATAACAAGAAAGCGGAAACTAAGAAAGCAAAATAATTTTGTTGCTTTTACCCACAATTACCACGATTACCAAGTCATTCGTACTTGCAATGTTCACTGTCTTTTCACTTAAAAATGTTCTTTACCAGACCATCAAGCTTTCACAGTAATCTTGCATAAGATATTTAACATAACAAAGGGAATGTTTTCCAGGCTCTACATAAACAGTAATGTAATGCCTCCTGTCCCAATATTTGGTTTGCACATTCTTTTGAGACTGTATCTGGCAGGTTATATTAAATACTTATGATTTACTGTAGACTTGTGAGGCCACACAAATGGTTCAGCTAGCTAGTGTTCTGCACACCTGGAATCTGCATTCCTTTTTAGATGGAGCTGGAGGAGCCACAGGAAAGGGTGGTGGGGGAGGAAGAGTCCAACGCAGAGTGCCAAGAGTTGCCAGCCCTGGGTGTGGAGAAGAACAATTCATTAGAAACCATGCCAGCCACACAGACATGTCAGAGCAGTGTGCCTGGCAGAGGGGAGGAGAGTAATGAGCAGCTTGCCTCCTCCACATATACATATATTACATATATATTACATATATTACATTACATATATTTATGTAATGTCACACTTTTAATGTAAATGCTCCGAAGAGAGCATTTATGTAAATGTAAAAGAGAGCATTTAATGTAAATGCTCTCTTCGGAGCATTTACATTAAAAGTGTGACAATTCAACATCAGATCTATGGCCCACCTAGTTTCACCTACTGTCTACGACTGTACTTCCTAGTCAATTCAGCTGCTCTTTGTGACATCACATGCAAAGATTAGGGACTTCTCTCTCCTTGTCCCTTTATGATTTTACTTATCCATTGAAATATATCTTTGAGAAAAGCAGGTTACAAAGAAGTAAAAATAAAAAACCACCTACTCAAAACCTCACCCTATTCATTATACACACAAATACAAGGGCAGAAAGCATAAAATATCAACAGAGATTTATTGGGGTACCAGGATCATATGTGGTTTTGCCCCTCCACTTCACTCTCTTCTATATGTCCTTTTCTATGTATTTTTCCTCATTAAGCAAGTATAACATCAATAATTTTAAAAAATCTTTCTTAAAAAGTGGGAAGAATAGGTCTTGTCCTTGAGAAGCCCAATCTAGTAGGAAAAGTTTATATAAATGCAAAGCAAATTATAATAAAATATAATATCACAAATTAATTTTTTTTTATAACATGGAGGTAATGGCCAGGGGCACCAAAGTAAGATTTGCTGGGAAGATACAGTTTGACTGGAGTGGATTGTAAAGTGTAACACTGAGAAGGAAGAAAGGAACCTAAGAGGGACATGCCAGGTACACACTGAAGAGCCCTGCAAGACTCCATGTGTTTGCAAAACTGGGGGAGGGGGGGAGATGGGGACTGCTCATTCACTGTTGAACAGTCAGAGTTCATTTATTCACTGTCAAGGACCATGTAGAGAGAAGCACCTGGAGTCAGATTCTGCACTTCAGCTTCCAAACCCATCACAGGCGGTTATGAACTGCCTGATGTGGTGGCCTGGAATTGAACTCTGATCCTCTGCAAGAGCAGTGTAGACTCTTAACCACTGAGCCATCTCTCCAGCCCATCATGTGACCACTAAGTTTTTGAAACATGATTAGTGACGTGGGAGAAGTGATTATAGTCTATGGTTTTAGAAGGTAATATACACACTGCAACTCTGATGTGAAAAACAGTGGTGGTGTATGAATCTATACACTTATGCAGTTATACACAAGCGTATGACAGACAGGTTAGCCAAAAGGATATACATCAAGATATCAGCAGCCATTTTCCTTTCATACTATTTGTACTTTTCAAATGTCTATATTGAATGTGTACCATTCTTACAAACAGATGACCATCATTTTACATTGCATGTATATGCATCAATGCAGACCTGCAACGGCCCCTGCTGGTTCTGCGGCTGTCTTCTCCTTGTCTGTTTAATAAGCTGACAGAAAATCTCATTCTGTAGCTCAGGATGTGTCAGGCAGACCTGCAAAGCGCTCTGAGCCAGAGAGATATGGTAGTCGATGGCAGGGGAGTCGACGGCAGCATTTATAAAAAGCTGGCAGGTCTGGATGGAAAAAGAATATTCTTGAGGTGAGAAATGATCAGGTTTATTTTGCACAAATCATAGCCATCCTATCTTTCAGCAGTAGTTTTTGTTTAAAACAATGGGGGAAAAGTATTATGATGACTCTAATCAAAAGAAATCCCGAGTGGCTACTGTAATAGCCGAGCAAGCAGATCTCAGAGCAAGAGGATTTTGCCAAAGAGAGAGAGGGTCACTTTATAATGGTAAAGGGTCACTTCATTCAGAAGACACAATGATTACACTATGTTCTCTAATACAGAGATTTAAAATGCATGTTTGCCTCACCCAGGCAGTCATTTATGTTAGCCACCGCATTTTCATTTCTGAAGTTCAACTTGGGTCTGTGAAATACTTTCCATTGCCCTCCTTAAAGTGCCCACGTTTTCCTTTACCACACAAAGCATCATCCTATATGTTCTTCAAAAGACAGTGAGACTGGGGGATATAGCTCAATGGCAGACAACTTATTTTCAGCATCATCACCATCCCCATCCTCAACAACAGAATCACCATCAACACAGCTTGGATTTTCTTAGAGTCAAACTTTATAACACAAATGGTTACATTCAATTGATTAAGTGATTGGTGCCAACATGTAACAACTTTACCTTAAACAACTTAATGGCCTCAGTCTGCAGAGCTTCGGAAGGCAGTGTGGTCAGAGGGGACAGGATCCCTTCTTTGCTGTGACACAGCATGGGATGTCTCCATATCTGAGAGGCTGAACACAGAGGAGCTCGTGAGCTGAGAGAGACGATTCATTTCCTTGGTTCCCATTAGCCTGACCCTTTAGAGAGCAGCTTATGCAGGTTTGGTTCACTTTCTCCCAAGGGTCATAAAAACAAGATGGAAACAAAACAACAAAAGCAAGAAACCTCCCAGTGATGCTGTTTATCAAACATCCCAAGGCCCCTGCAGTTTTCATGTTTCTGTTCTAGAGGATGTGAATGTAAAAGTGTTACATCCTAACTGACCAATTCTACTTGGCATTATGAGGATGTGAATGTAAAAGTGTTACATCCTAACTGACCAATTCTACTTGGCATTATGTTGCTTACACATGCCAATAGGTAGGACCTTGGGAGAAAGATCTAGAGAGATCTTGAGAGAGCCAAAAGGAGCAGATAGATATGAAGACAAAGAGGAACATGAAGTCATTCCTGAAATCAGTATTTATTAAACTGCTCCCCTATGGCTGGGCATTTAGCTTAGCGGCAGAGCAAATGCTGAGCATGTCCTATACTATCACTGCTTAAACATAAATGTGATATGGTCTCTGTTCATAAAACACACAACAGAATTGAGTCTAGATGGAAAACCTTATCTGATGGCTAAGCTTGACCTTTTCAGAGGGACAAGGTGCCTCTAGGCGTGTCTGTGAGGCTTTTGCAGATGGCTAATAGAGAACGGAGACCCACCCTGAATACTGGGCCTCACTATTCCACAGGCTGGGGCCCTGGAGTGAACAAAAAGCAGAAAGGAAGTGCTACGATTGACCACCTCATACTCCTGCCCAGGTGCCTTCCCCACCACAACCGACTGTATCCCTGTAAACAGCAGGCCAAATGAACTCTTCCTGCCACAGCTTCCTACTTCACTTCCTTAACTGCTTGACAAGCATTTGACCACAGCAACATGAAAGGTAGTAAGACACCATAGTTATAAGACGATTAACGTCAATGTAAAGTGACAGATGCTATAAGAGGGTTAAATGGGGAGGCTAATAGGACTTAATTTCAATTCTGAGGAAGCAAGCACACCTTTGGAGACTCAGGCTCTGGGCTGGAATGCACTGACTGAGGGACGGTCTAAGGCTAACCAGGATTTCATCATGTCAGTGAGAGGTGCCAAGGTCGGGGCACCCCGGGCAAAGGGAGCAATGTGAGCAGAGGCAGAGGTGTGAGAGGGCTTGAAGGATGCTGATGATTCTGGAGCCTAAGAATTCCAGCCCATCCATTACAAGCAAAGCCATCGGGGAAGTAGGCATACTACAAGAGGAAGCATGAAGCAAAAACCACACCAGGTCAAGGGGTTGGGGACCCTCTTCACGTACTCCAAAGCCTGGGTAGGTGCTTAGGAACTTACAAGGCTCGCCTTCTATGTTTAGCAGTTTGAAAACCAGCTGTTCAAATTCAGATCCGACATTTACATTGTTACTTCCAGCAGCAACGGTGAGATGATAAAGCCAGGTGTCCTTCAAAAAGAGAGCATATTAACAGAGATGTTAGCCAAGATGACCTTTCAGCTTTGCCAGAAGGAACAACATGCAAAAACAGTGAAAAGCAAAGCAAAACAAAACAACAATAAAAACTCCAGACAGAAACCACATTCATTTTTAATTTACTTCTAGTGTCTGTAGGAGTGTGTGGAGGATGCATACATGTAGATGTCAGAAGACAACTTGAGGGAGTTTGGTTTTCTTTCTATCATGTGGGTTCAGGGATAGAACTCAGGTCCCCAAGCTTGCTGGTAAGCCTCTGAGGAGGGCTCACACTCTTGAGCCATGCTCAAGCTATTCTCCACTTTTACCATATTTTACACATGCTTCTTAGAAAAGCAAGATAAAATTAAGGTGTGTAATACATGTTGAGAGTCTAGAATAAATGCAGCTAGCTACCTAAAATTCTTTTAAGATGTATAATTCTTGTATTCTAAGAAATACAATGAATTCTATCCAATTTAACATTTTACTAACAGTAAACAGGATACTCTTTATGAAGGAAGTAATATCCAATGTTTCAACTTCCTTTTTCCATCTGTGGAAATACATGTATACACTGGGGTTTTGTCTATTTACTTTTGGTTTTGGTTTTTCTTTTTCTTTTTTTTTTTAAAAGATTTTATTTATTATGTATACAATATTCTGCTTCCATGTCTATCTGCACACCAGAAGAGGGTACCAGATCTCATAATGGATGGTTGTGAAACACCATGTGGTTGCTGGGAATTGAACTCAGGACCTCTGGAAGAGCATACTCTTAACCTCTGAGCCATCTCTCCAGCCCCTGGTTTTGGTTTTTCAAGATAGGGTTTCTTTGTGTAGCCCTAGAACTTGTTCTGTAGATGGGTCTGGCCTTGAACTCAGAGAGCTGCCTGCCTCTGCCTCCCGAGCACTGGGTTAAAGGTGTGCGTCACCACTGCATGGCTTGTAGAATGAATTTTAGTGGAGTTGGCATTATACTGAAACAGTTTTATAGTTTCTGCATTTTCCTAATGCTCAGCATTAAATTTTCAGATAGCAGATATTGCCCCATCTAACACTTGTTAGTTAAAAAGAGCATTTGTTACATTTTCTATTTTTAAAAGTACTTCTGAGATACTATTATTTTAAAAATAATATAGCCAATTAATTTGTGATAATTTTCTCAGTATACATTCCTTTTAAAGAAAATTCTGTGATCAAACCCCACACCTTGCACATTCGTGGTAAGCTCTATTGCTAAGCTGTATCTCCAGCCTCCTTACTGTACAATCTTTAAACATAATTAGGGGTCATAATGAAGACAGGGACTCTAGGAACTGGCAGAAACCCATCAAGTGGACAATGCAGGAGCTTCCCAGAGTGCTCTTGGGCCTTCACACACACTGCTTTACCCACCTCAGGTGAACTCACAAAAATCTTTGACAATTTGAGAATTTGTCACCTTTCCCGTTTTCCATCTCTTCCTCTGGAAGAACAGTCAGTACTCTTAGCCACTAAGCCATCTCTCCAGTCCTGAGGGTCACACTTCTTAAACTCTTTTTGTCCCCCACTGTCGCCATTAATTTCAGATCTCAACTTTTCAGAACACAACTTTTGCCAACAGACTGGCATGAGGTTTACTTGCAGAGTCTCATGAAACAGAAATTGAAGGGCTTTTTTTTTTTTTCTCTCCCCGCCCCAAATCTGTTCTTTATTTCCATAAAATTGGCTTGAATTCCTCTGCACCTCAACTATAAAGTCTGAATCATTTTAGACCAACCCAAAAGACTTTAACTACCTTCTCATGCTTGGATCCGATCAGCAGGTATGTTGGGCCTTGGTCTTTGGGGTGGATGACGATGGTGTAATGAGTGGATAACAGACATCGTCCACTGGCTTCATAATCTTCATCTGAGTCACAGGACCTGTCCACCTCCTCCACCTTAGCCTCCCAGAGCTTGATCTGACCTAGAGGGAACTGAAGCAAAGGTTAGCAGTGGTAAGGAAGGCACAGCACACTCAGTCTTTTCCAACTAGAAGCTATTATGGTCCTCTTCCTTTTTACTTTTAAAAGGCACACTTAAAAAAAAAATGAATGACTCATTGAAATCTGATTCTCCATTTTGTTACAAACAGAACAGAAACAAGCAGAATCCCCAACTGAAGTATGAATGTTTCTGGCCCGGCAGGGTCCCACCGCCCTTGAACCCCAAATAAACACACAGATGCTTTATTTATTATTAAACTGTTGGCCGATGACTAGGGCTTCTTATTGGCTAGCTCTGTCTTAATTATTAACCCATAACTACTAATCTATGTATTTCCATGTGGTCTTGGCGTACCAGAGAATGCCAGACCTGCAACTCCTTTGCCTGCTACATGGTGACTGACCCTGGTGGGCTCTCCTGCCTATCTTTCCAAGAATTCTCCTCCTCTTCTCGTCCCACCTATCTTCCTGCCTCATTGGCCATTGGCTAAACAGTGTTTTATTCATCAACCAATAAGAGAAACATATATACAGAAGACATCCCCCTTGACACAACATTGACACAAAACAAGCAAGAGAATAGTGGACACTTAAAATTTGAGGAGAAAAATAATGAGGATCGGTGTGTTAGGTTATTCCACCAGACTTGAACAACTGATTCCTTGCTGAAGATATGGTAGTACTTCAACCAAAATACCCAGCAGATTCAGTGTTCCTCAAAGAACTTATGAGCAATTTGGTTAAGCTAGTGGATTAAAGGGTAAAGTGTAGACATGGGCTCCATATTGTTCACAGAAAATAATAACTAGCTGATATGAAGGCCATCTCAGATCCCCATAAATGTCTAGAATTATCAGACTATTGAAGTGTGTAACACATTCCTGGGAAAAACAGCTGTTCTTTCCATTGTAACTTAAGGATAAGAAAACCTCCCTACAGCTAGCTTTGTTAAAGTTTATCTATTCTTTTACTGACTAACATAAACATGACTTCTATGTTAGTTATTTACTATCTGTTTTTAAACTTTTACATTAGTTAAGGACAATACAGAGCATTCTTCGGTTTACAGCTTCTAAAATATTTGGCCAGTTTTGTAATCACAGGGATTACTTATTTGGGGGTGGGGGCATAAGGAAGGGTGTTGAGGCAATGCCTTGCTAAGTATCTAGGCACTACAGCCAATTCCCTGCATCAGCTTCCTGGGTACTGGGATTATAGGCATGCTGCAATTCTTTGAAAAAGCCATTCTAACCACAAACATGTGCTATCATCCATTTTTATGATGCATTCCAGGGCTCCGTGCTTGGATTCTTTGTCCTGACCACCTACACACACAGTGGTGATCTCATCCAAGATCATGGCTTTAATCCCAGCAGATGTTAGCGACTCCCAAATGCCTAACTCCAGACTCATGATCTGGACTCGGGTGCCTAACCGCGTCTCAAACTCCCTTCAACACGTCCACCTCAACCACCTGCTCCTCCCAGCCTTCCCCACCACACTCGGTGACTTCATCTTTCCAAAAGTTGGGGCCAAAAACATTGACAGCATTCACTGACCCCTTTCTTTCCCTGACATAAATTCTGTCAAGACTGTCAGAATATATGGTCTCTTCTGAGAGTGCCACAGCCCCCACTAACCACAGTCGTCCCAGTGCTGGACTAATCTAACCGTTTCCTAATTAGAGTCTTCCTCCCTCCCTTCAGCCTGTTCCTAAATAGAAGCCTCGTGTTCCTCCAGTTCATTTTGCCTCACTCCGAGTAAAAGCAAGAGGTGGCAGGACATTTCTTTGGCTTAAAGATTATTTTGAATTATAGCTATTTTCAAAATCAAACAAAAACACAGGTGCAAGGGTGCACTCTGACTCCCCGCCTTTTTTTTTTTTTCTTTCAAGACAGGAGGTAAAACTCCCATATGGAAGATGCTCTTGGTAACAGGCTTGAAAACAACATTCTTAGGATCAAGACCAGAAGCTTATACAGAAACTCTGGCACTTCTCCACCCAGTTAGCTACAACAGCCCATCCCTGTTTTCCCAAGTTACTGTTGTTTGTCCAGTTTCATAGGGTCTTCATTTCCTGATAAAACCTCGTGTGTCCTATACAACTTACATTCAGTAAGTTTGTGTACTTTTCTCCTATAATCTGTCCCATGTCAGATTAATTCTGAGGCCTACGAAAACCCTAGCAACACAGAGGTAAAATTTTGTCTCCCTTAAAAAGCCAGCATTTTTCTTTGACCTACTAGGACCCGTATGGTTCAGCCTCTGTCATACCCCTCACCTCACTTCCCACCGTTCTTTTCCCAAGGGGTTCCAGTCCAGTCACATTGACCTCACTCTTTTTAAACACATCAGGCATGCTCCTGCCTTGGGGCCTTTACATTTGGTACTCCTTCTCCCCGGAATATTGTCACAAATACCCACATCGTTGTACTTTTACTTCCTTTAGGATCCAATGAAAAGCCAGATCTTACTGGCATATTGTATAGAAAACAAATAACATCTATCTGGTAGCTGATTAATAGTAAAGATGACTAAATTAAACATATTATCTTTCACATGGAATGTATTTTTGACACCTTTCAAAAATTATTTTTATACTCTGTGTGTGTGTGTGTGTGTGTGTGTGTGTGTGTGTGTGTGTGTCCCGGGTCAGTGGGTTCCAGCAGAGGCCAGAAGAGGGTGACAGGAGTTACAGGTGGTTATGAGCATCTCCATGTGGGTGCTGGGAACCAAGCCCAGGTCCTCTGGAAGAACATCCGGTGCTCTTAAACTGCTTTGCTGGCTCTTTAGAGTGATCGTTTACTCATTAAATGGATAATAAATTTACACTGAACAGTTACTATACTGAGAACTAAATAAAAAATTTTACTTCTAAAAGAAAAATGTAGGTGGGGGCATGGGAAGATGGGAGGGAGAGGGAATTGGGATTGATATGTAAAATAAGATTGTTTCTAAATTCATTAAATAAATAAAAAAATAAAAATGTAAACTTATCTAGACTTTCAGGAAAAAAAGGTAGGAATAAAGCAAAATAATAGGGCAAAATGTCATGTTGATAATAAAAAGATTTTTTAAAAATGTGAAGAAATGAATACTACTATAAGACAGAATAGTACTCTCCTAATTAGGTGCTTCAGGCACAAGCCCAAGAATTTCTAGTTTCTCAACTTCTCTGAAGATAAATTGTCTTATCGAACCTTCCTAAAGGTTCCCCCATGGTGTCATGTGTGTCCCCAATTCCATATCAAAACTTTAATTTCCTTTTTTTTTTTTTTGAGACAGGGTTTTCTCTGTATAACAGCTCTAGCTGTCCTGGAAATTTTTGTAGACCAGGCTAGCCTCAAAATCACAGAGATCCACCTGCCACTGTCTTCCAGGTGCTGGGATTAAAGGCATGCATCATTATGCCCAGCTAATGTCCATTTTTCTGATAGTCAATATGGCAGGGAATGTTGAACATTGCTTTATGTTGTGCTTAGACTTAAAGCTTCAGGTGGCATTGCTGTTTGAGCAATTCCCTCACTCCTCCAAATTTATCCTTTCCAACGGCTGCACTGTTAACCCCATCCCACCAGCAATTCAGGGAACAACAGCCCGTGTGTTAAGTACAGCTGAAAGACCTGAAAGCACAGCCTGTAAAAAGGGAAATAACGGACCCACAGCTTCACCAGACCAAGTCTAGTATCATTAACAAACAAATCAGCCCCAGGCTGCCGTCCCATGGAGCTCATACCATCATTTTATACAAGTACTCAAGGCCCATATGGATGGCTAAATTCATGTAGTTACAGTGACACAAATACGGTGGTACCGAGTGCCCACAGTGGCTTGTGGCCGTTTCACCTTCCACAGACCGCCCGTCTTTCTACTGTCAAAGTGAAGATTGCTAAAGTTCCTGGAATGGGGGAGGACAATAGTTTAGAAGTATAGATAGAACATACAGGGACAAACGGATGAGCCATTGTATCCAGGCATCTGAGGAACCAACAGTCTGGATTCCGTTTCATCCCTAGGCTATCCTTCCCAGTTGTTCACCTCTCCTAGCTTTACCTAATCTGTCAGGACACTGGGAAGCATGGCAAAATGAAGGATAGGAGGGAATAAAAGAAGGCTTTGCCCTTTCAGTTCTTTCAAAGCGCAGTGGGTAAAAGTCACTAAGTGAAATTTACAACCAAGGCCCAAGTAGGTTACTACCCCAGTAATAAATATAGTAGCAACTTAACAAAAACTCTAGAGCCTTGCCTAGCAATAGAAAAGTCAAAAGGGAAAGCTTTTAAAACTAGCACAGGCAAAGTTCGTCCTCTCATTGGGCTGTTAATATGCATACATACCTTATCCTCTTGACTGCGAAAATAATACAAAGTCTTCCCAACGATCATACACCAGACTCTCTTCGAGTAGCCGTGTTTTACCTGAAATTGTATTTCAGTGGATTAAAATGTAGGTCAGAAGTCTGGGAAATTGCAGTATAGTTTATACATTCTCTGGTAAGCTCTACAGGTATCCAGTATGACAGAGGCTGACAGCAATCACACAGCCCAGCACTGGGACAACACTTGCCAAGAGTTTGCTCTGTGTCACATACGATGCTTCTGACTAGGACAGATGTGCCCAACCTGTGGGTCGTGGCCCCTTTGGTGGGTCAAATGACCCTTTCATAGTGGTTGCCTAAGACCTTCGGACAACAGAGATATCTATATTATAATTTATAACAGTAGCAACAGTTATGAAGTAGCAACAAAGATAACTTTATAGTTGGAGGTCACCACAACATGAGGGTCACAGCACTAGGAAAGTTGAAAACCTTCTTGTTCTAGGACTAGGATTAGGAGCCAATTTCACAATTAAGTTTATTTCATCGTTTCCTTACTTCAAAGATTTCCAATAACCCAGTGGCTCTCTGGGTTAGCATTTTAATGTTCAAACAAAGACGTTATTAAAACCCAAAGAATCCCAGTGATTTCCGGAGTAAAGAGAAACAAACATTTGTAGCTTTCTCTAGAAGGAACCATAGAGAATGACACAATGCCATCAAAGGCTGTCACTATGTTGAGGCTAAGACCGGCTCCACTCAGGTCCATGTTAAGTGACAGAATTTGAGTCCAGCTCTTGTCTGTGTAGAGTCAGAGGTTAAACAGTCTTTGCTGAGGGCACTCAGGGTCAATCTTGGTGGCTTTTATAACTCTGGACTGGGAGTTCCAACCTGCATGAAGGTCTATACCAGACAGACATCACTACATCCTCCATTCTACAAGAACATGAAGAAACCCATTCCCATGGATGGGCAAGCATAAGAAAAATCCCTCTTCCCCCATTCCAGAATGAATACTTTGTGCTTATCTGAGCATGCCTTGCAATTCCACCTCTGTGGCAGTGGTCCTGTCAATCTAGCATTGGCAACACACCCACATTTTCACATGCTGGTATCATCAGCAAAGTGGCTTCCCCAATTATTCTGTCAGAACACAGGGTTATTATACACCTCCTTGGGCTACCATTTGACCAAATGAGACAATACATAAATGAAAAATAACAGTAGCTGCAATAAATGATTACTTCCTCCTAAATGAAACGCATGGCCTTTGTTTTGTTTTTTGTTTTTCTAGACAGAGTTTCTCTTGGTAGCTTTGGCTGTCCTGGAACTCACTCTAGACCAGGCTGGCCTCGAACTCAGAGATCCACCTGCTTCTATTCCCAAGTTCTAGGATTAAAGGCATGCACCACTACTGCCCAGCCACATGGCCTCTTTTAAACCCATGGAGTCAGCTAGCCTTTTGGCTTCCAAAGTTATGGCCTAAACAAATAACTCTACCACTAATGTTTTCATGGATTTAGAATACTCCTTTAAGACAACAACAGCAACAAAACGTTTTATTTGGTAAGGCACACCTCAGTTAAATTAAATTTGGAAACATATATTTACAGAGGAATGTCCTGGGCTTTTCAACAGAGCTCTGCAGGGCTGTTTCCTCTTTCTTTAAACAGCTCTGAGAGAAGTTTCCTCAAAACCGGAGTATAATCCATGTATTTTGGAAATGATTTATTTTTAAAATGGAACAATGACTGCATCTGAACCAAAATTAAGTGGGAAGCTTTACCAACTCCTGTAGAAGCTACAAACGCAGCCCATCTTCTACATACATCTTACATTAGAGTTTCTTCAAACTCTGGGTCTGAAAACTTTTTTTTTTTCAAGACAAGGGTTCTCTTGTGTAACATCTCTGGCTGTCCTGGAACTCACTTTGTAGACCAGGCTGGCCTCACAGCGATCAGCCTGTCTCTACCTCCCAAGTGCTGGGATTTCAGGTGTGCACCTCTTGGCCTCTGAAAATATTTTAACATAGCATATCATACTAGAAAAATCCTTGTGGAGATGTAAAGACAACCTCAAAGGCTTGGCAAACCAAATCATCTAAATACTAACTTTTGACCTTGCCTTGGTAACGGAAGCCTTCCCTATCACTGGTTTTATTCTATACCTTTGTCAACACACAAAACACAAGCTCCCCTGGTCTCTTCCCTTGTCACCTTATCCCTGTAGTGTCACCAGCCTTACTGGCTTCAGTACCTACAAGAAACTTCCGTGGCAATGCCTAGTATTTTAAAGTGTATTTGCTGGCCAGGCATTGTGTGAACACACTTGACATGATGAAATGAAACAACCCTCGGGAGTTGTCACTATGATTGTCTCCCATTTCACAGATGAGATCATGGCATGAGGCCTGTGAGTAACTCATTCTAGGACACACGGGGTTTGTACGAGAGCCAGCATTTGTGCCTAGGCAGTGTGACTCCCTGGTCCTTCCCCTCCTGTCTCTGAATTATCCCTTCAGCTGTGCTCTTTCCATCTCCAATAAACTTTGCAATTTTTCATGTCTCCTTGTCCCCACACCTAGATCCTTTTTCTGTGCTGGAATGCACTCATTTCCGTAACTTATATTCTGTCCTGGCCCTGGCCCTCTCACTCACGCCATTGCTATGCTTTGACCTGCTTCCTGCTTCAAGTGCCCTGATCCAACCATCTCCTAGTTTCTCCATTCTTGCCAAGCCTATATTCCTTCTTGGCCAACCTGGGATCCCGAGTTTGATCATAAAATAATTCTTGCTGCAGGGCCCATTACCACATTGCATTCCTATGCTCCTAACAAATCCATAGCCCAGTGCAGGATGTGAGACAGGCAAAAGCAATGGCAGGTGGGTATTCTTAGATGGTATTAGTCATAGTTAACAATTGTTGAGACTGAAAGGTGAATCTGTGAAGGGACATTATATCCTTTACTTTTGGATATTTAAAATTTTATAATAAAGTACATACTTCAGACCATCGCCCTGATAGGCATGAAATAAAACTATTTTTTAATTTTGCTACTGTTGTGAATCACAATGTAATTATCTGTGTTTTCTGATGGTCTTGGGTGACCTCTGTGAAAGGGTCACTCATTGCCCTACTTCTGAGAAGAGGTAAGCTCTGGGCTACCACTCTAGCACTTGTGCCTGCTTGCCTCCATAGTGATCATGGACTAACCTCCTTGAAGCTACATGCAAGCCCTGATTAAATGCTTTATGTTATAAGTTGCCCTGGTTCATGCTGTTCTGTCACAGCCACAGAAATGTAACTAAGACACCTTCTGACTTCCACATGCTTGCGGTGACATATGTGTGCCTAAATTCACATACATGCACAATAAATAAACAAAATGCTGATAGTGGAATAGGAAGTGAGAATCACAGATATGTTCTATGAGTAGAAGCCAACATTACCATCTTGATAAAATATGTGGCAAGGGATCAAATAGAAGTTCACCATGGTAGAAAACAAACTGTTAGTCACGACCTTCTATCAAACTCACGAGTTTACTATACAAGCTCCCTGAAATAAGGGGAAAGCTTGTGGTTCTGAGCTACAGAGTGAACGGGGATTAGCCCAGTACTATATCCATTTTTTAAAGTATATTTTCCACAATGCCAGGAAGTTGCCAATAAATAAGCAAATGTTAGACTGGTAATGGAGTATTTTAGCAAAAAAAGAATAATTAAGACTGAGATGACTCATTCAGTAAATCATTTACCACAGCAAGCACGAGGACCCAAGTTCAACCACTAGAACCCCTGAGAAAGGCCAGGAGATTTCAGGCACATTTGCCTGAAATCCCAGTGCTGGGGGTGCAGAGACAGGAAGATTCCCCAAAGCTAGTCATCCAGTCCAGCAAACTGTCATCTCCAGGCTCAGTGAGAGAAAAGAACTCAAGAAATAGATGGATAGAAGATAGATAGATAGATAGATAGATAGATAGATAGATAGATAGATAGATAGATAGATAGATGATAGATGTATGGATAGATAATTGATAGATGGTAGGTAGATAGATGATTGACAGATAGATAGATGGTAGGTGGATAGATAGTTAGATAGATACGTAGATACAATAGAGAGCGCTTAAGGAAGATCCCTGACATGAACTTCTAGTTTAACACACACACACACACACACACACACACACACAGAGAGAGAGAGAGAGAGAGAGAGAGAGAGCATCTCTGTGGAATACAATACAGTGGTGAATTCTTTCTTACTTTTGGTGCTCAGTGTTACCTCAGTCTGTCAGATTTTGTAAATATTACTGAATGCTGCCTGCACACATCCCCATGTTGTCATTAAATATAAATGATAGCACAGTATATATCCCACCTGTAAAATTTTTACCTCAAACAGAACACAAACACATTTCTATGGCTGTATAGATATTCTACTATGTCATCTCAAAAGTGACCAACAGGATATTTTAAACGTTTGAAACAATAAGTGGCTCTGTCCTTTATAACTCCCTGTGGAGGAGTTAACATTGTTAAACTCTAGTAATGAGCATTGGTTCACTCCAAGCCAGTAATATCACTCTGCTGTACACTTTTGCCAAACCATCTGTCCTTAATGAACATAGTAAACCAGCTGACTGGGCTAGCATTCTATTATTGTCTGTATAGTATACGGAATTGCTATCTGTCGGGGTATGGTGGTATTGTCTTTAATCCCAGCAGTTGGGCGGCAGAGACAGGCAGACCTCTAAATTCAGCTACACAGAAAAACCCTGTCTTGAAAAGTGCTCCCCACCCCCGAAAGTTCTGTATCTTAATAGTCACAGTAAATGTATTTCAAAAGTCTGTTCTTGACTTATGAATTTCAGAGTATGTCAATTATCCCTCGTTTTATTCTTCACATTAGAGGAGAAAACATACTCTGGTGAGCATCCCTATATTTAAATATGTAAATTTAGACCACTTCCAAAGGATAAATTTTCTGAGCAGAGAGAACTGAATCAAATGGAATGTTTCTTAAATGCTTTATACTCATTTTAAAATTACATTTTTTTTTTTGATGCATGGGTGGAGGTCAGAGGACAATTTGTAGGAGTCAGTTCTTTCTGTCTACCATGTGGATACCAGAGACTGAACTCAAATGGTTAGGCTTGGTGACAAGTGCCTTTGTGTGCTAAGCTATCATCTCACCCCCCCACCTCCTGCTCCCAAATGGTGTGCTTTTAAACTGTGTGACATTTGGGCTGGGGAGGCATGCTTAGTCAGTAAAGTGCCTGCTATGCAGATATGATAATGTGAGTTTGAATTCCAGCACTCACAGAAAAAGCCAGGAACAGTGGTGTGCGTTTAATCCCCGTTTTGTGGAAGAGGATCCCTTACAACTCTGGCCAGATAGCCTGGTAAATCTCTGTCTGAAAGAACAAGTTGAGAGCAGGTGACATGGCTCGGTGGGTAAAGGAACTTGTCACCAGGCTTAGTGATCTGTATTTAATCCCAGAGCCTTCATGGTGGAAGGAGAGGACTGTCTCCCACAAGAAAGTACTTAGTGGTGTAGGAGTATATAATGATACATTGTTAGCACACACACACACACACACACACACACACACACACACACACACAATTGCAGTGACATATTCCCTCTGACACACACATACAGGTACACATAATATAAATAAATACAAAAGTAAAAAAAAAAAAAGAAAGATAAAACAAGATGGATGACTCCTGAGAGATAACACTGAGGTTGACCTCTGTCTTTCACACACATGCACACACATGCACACACATGTGCGAACCCACCCATCCTACCCCCACACACAAAGTTGATATTCATCCATCTGTTCATCCAAAAATTACTGAGTTAACATTTGAACCAGGTCATTGCTAAATTGTCTTCCAGAGTGACACTCTAGCAAACTGACATGCATTTCAATAAAAAAAAAGTCTTACCTTTAAACAGATTTTAAAATTATATTATGTCAAATTTGTGCATTAAAAATCTCAGAGGTAGCAAGCTGGTTTCTGCTATACTTGCTGATCTTTTCTGTTTCTTCTTAGTTCTACCATATCAACTCCTCTATGTGTCCTTCGGGATTTTGGTATCCACGCTTTAGAAAAGGCTTGTTAAATACTTTTTGACTCCGTTATTTATTTAACATGTGTGTGTGCATGTGTGTGTGTGTGTGTGTGTGTGTGTGTGTGTGTGTGTGTGTGTGTCTGTGTGTGTTTGTGTATGCCATAGCATATGTGTGGAGGTTAGAGATACTGGTGGGAGCCAGTTCTTTCCCACTATGTGGGTTCTAGGGAACTCAGGTCATCAGACTTGGCAGCAAGCACTTTTATCTGTTGAGCCACCTTACCAGGCCAAGCTTATTACATATTAAAGATATTAACCGGGTCTCATGCCTTTTCATGGCATTTTCAAATTTTTTCATTTATATTTTTGCATGTGGCCAAATACATCTTTTTTTCATCTCTGTGATTCCTCACTCTCCAGTAATTATACTTAAAAAACCCTTCCCACCCCAACACAAGATATTAAATGCATATTATTATCTGGACTCCACTATTCACGATGCATGGAGCTTACCAAAGCAGCTGCTAGGATGCTGCTGTGTATACAAGAGTCCTACCTTGGTGAGCAATCCCTTGGCTGTTGGTTTGCCCTCAGGCTGCAGGCAAAGAGGATTAGCAGCTTGTACTCGAAGAACATTCTGTAACACTTTAATCCATTCTTCCAATAGATTGGGAGAATCTGCAGTCAGGTAGTATGTGTGCTTCTCCGTGGTCAGCTAGAATGGTTTAAGGGACAACCGGAGAGGCACTAATTATGACTTAGTCCTTGTCCAGTCAAACATTATTACTGACAGGAAAGCAAACACAGTGCCCCTAGAGTCCCTGGTTCCAAGGAAATGTAGAATTCTTTAGCCACCATGTGACAATGATGACCATTGAGTTAATCATTTTACATGTGGGCCCGACACTGTTCACACTATTAAATCTAGGGTCATGGTTTTATATCTTTAATTGTCACACTTTCCTTTTCTCCCCAGTGTGCTAAGCTTTTGGCTGTTGAACAGAAAGCCTGGAGATGATGATAAACAAATACAAAGTTATCAGTGCAAGAGGGGATTTTCATGGACACAAATAAGATAGCGAACTATAAACAAACGAGAACTTCTACACCAGTTCCTGGTGTTACATGTGACCAGTGTCTAAGACAATATTAAGTCTCAAATGAACAGTGTTGCCAATTTCCCAAATATTTCAGGACATTACAATCAATTCTTGGAAGTCCTACATCGGAGCTTGTCCGGGTTTATCCATTTTAACCGAAGGTATCCCCAGGCTACAGGGGATGAGCCATGAACCATTCTAGTAAATGTCTTCTACCATCCACAGGGACAAGATTAAAAAAATAATGGTTATTGAAACATCTCAGAAGCAAAGTGTCTGAATTTAGATATATCAGACTATCTTAACAGCATGTTTTAAATTGAACAGGTTTATGTGTGGGTAACTTGGGCACCAGCCACTTCTGATAGTACTTGGCAGTACAGTGCCTCTGGTCACCAATAGATTTCCCTTTTTGAAGTTCATGGGAGAACTGTTACTGTCCAATTCTATACTAAAATACAAACATTCTTGAATTTAATGGTATATTGTTAGAGCCATTCCCCAGGAAGCCAGGGTTGGGTGGACTTAGCCAGAGTCCATCTTCCTGGGCAGCATTTAATTAAGAGCAAAATTGGCTAAAAAAAATTGGCTAAAAAATTGTTACAAACATCTCAGAAATTCATTTACTGGATAACCCTCTCCTAAAACAGCTTGACATTTTGAGAGCTGAAAATACCCAGGAGATTAACTATGGAAGAACATGGGAAGAAAAGGTATAGGTCATAGCGGGGAAGTACTCATACTTAGCTCATAGTACAGTTTTAACTAAAAAGTCTTATATACCTTCCAGCATCAAACTGATTCTAAAATGAATAAAAAGTCATCAAACAATCCCATATCAGTGAAGAACCGTTTTTTTCATGATACCAAAAGAATAATAAATTCAAAAGACATGTACCTGGACTGTTTGTTTGTTATTTCCCCTTATAATACTGCAAGATGCGTTAAGTTCAATGTGGCCCTGGGGTTTCCGAATTACATCGCTCTGTATAGAGGGAGGGAGAGCAAACATAGATTAGCGATAGCAGTAATTACAGGGAATGTTTCGTATCCTGAATGCATAGTTAAAATTTTAGCCCTGTTTCTATTTTATGTGTATGGATATTTTGCTTGCATGTGTGTCAATGCATCTTGTCCATGCAGTGCCTGTGAAAGCCAGAAGGGGCCGTCAGATCCCCTGGGACTGTAATTATAGATGGTCGTGAGCCTGCCATACAGGTGCTGGGAAAGAAATCAAGGATCTTCTGCAAGAACAGCCAGCGCTGAGCTATCTCTCCCGGCCCCGTAATTAATTTGTATTACAGGGAAGGAAATCACTGGGAGTCTGCTTTACAGGGTGAGGAATTCAGGTCTCAACCGCCACTGCCCACTCACTGGAGACTTGTAGTAAAGCAATTCGCCGCCTTTCAAGACAAACCACCTCCGCTTCCACGTCTTGACTTTACCGCTCATTTTCAGTAGATAACCAGATTTCTCTAACAGTTCCTAACAAAAAAGAAGACATTTGAAAACGATGTTTTGTTTCTGTTGGGGAGTCAACCTCACAGATTCATTAAAATTTAGAAGTCTGTTTCAATGCTTACATTTTTCCCATTTTCACTAGAAGATGAGCAGGTTTTAGGGAGTTTCTGCTCAGGCTGCGAGCACTCCGAGTCTATGCAATAGGCATCGGGTGGGATGGCATAATCACTTTCGGAAGCCATGGAGGAGACAGATACGCCTAGGAAAACAAAGTTATAAATCCAGTCAGTATTTCAGCCTGGCGGGGGCCAATAGCAGCTGTGAGTACTCCTTGCACATGGCAATTAACTCCTACATCATAAACCACCCTTCACAAGATTTATTCCTATTCCTCTGGCCATGGAGAACTTTTAATGCAGGAAATAGAACTAAGGTGCTGGAACTGCCACACAAATTTCCAAGAAAGTCAAAAGAACATAAATAATATTTTGGTATGATTGGAACTGTGAGTGTTCTCGCATACACAAAATCTACGAGTGCATCTTTTAATAAAGATTTAAAATTTGTGTATTTATATACTGATACATAGACAAACAAATGCTAAACCTCAATAGTATTTTTTTCAAGTTGAATATACTACTAACCAGTTTACTGGCTTTAAAAATCCTTCATGAGTTCAGTGTAAAGAGCACTGGTTGTACTTCCAGAGGACCTGGGTTTAATTCCCAGCACCCACATGGCAGTTCACAACTGTCTGTAACTCCAGTTCCAGAGAATCTGACATCTTCACACCAATGCACATAAAATAAAGTTAAATAAATTATTTTAAAAATCCTTCATGACAGAGCTGGAGAGATGGCTCAGAGGTTAAAAGCACCGGCCGCTCTTCCAGAGGTCCTGAGTTCAATTCCCAGCAACCACATGGTGGCTCACAACCATCCATTATGAGATCTGGTGCCCTCTTCTGGTGTGCAGATATACATGGAAGTAGAATGCTTTATACATAATAAATAAATAAAATCTTTAAAAAAAAATCCTTCATAAGGTGTGTAGTGGACAGACCCAGGCAGGTCAGACCACCCGGAGTCTGGCCACACCTCAGTCTTGGCGCCCCCTCTGCCCTCTGCCCTCGACTTGAATCTTGCCCCCCCCAATGCCCTCCAAATGAGTGAGGAGAACACCAGGAGAGGCCAGACCATCCACAGTAGCTGACATTGAAGTCTTGGCCCACTTATGCTCACTGGGAGACAAGAGGAGAGGAAGAGACCCCGCCTGCACCCACTCAAAGAAGGGATGGAAAGATGACAGTATAAGAACACACTCAACAACAGGAAAACCAATGTGACACCACCAGAATCTAGGGACTCCACACCAGCAAGACCTGAACATCCCAACACAGACGAAGCAGAAGAGAACAACCTCAAAAACAACTTTATGAAGACGATAGAAACCCTCAAAGAGGAAATGAGAAAACCCTTAAAGAAATGGAGGAAAAGACAAACCAAAAAATTCAAGAAATAAACAAAGCTCTTAAAGAATACAAAGAAAGACAAGAAAAAACAACCAAACAAGTAAAGGAAACAATTCAAACAGTTCAATGTTAGAAAGCTGAAATAGAAACAATAAAGAAAACACAGAATGAGGGAATGTTGGAAATAGAAAAGCTGAGTAAATGATCAGGAACTACAGATAAAATACAAGAGATGGAAGAGAGAATCTCAGGTGTTGAGGACTCACTAGAGGAAATACAGTCATCAACCAAAGAAAATCTCAAGTCCAACAAATCCCTAATACAAAATATCCAGGAAATATGGGACACCATGAAAAGGCCAAGAACAATAAGTATAGAAGAAGGTGAAGAAATACATCTCAAGGGTACAGAAAACATATTCAACAAAATCATAGAAGAAGGCCAGGCGTTGTTGGCGCACACCTTTAACCCCAGCACTCGGGAGGCAGAGGCAGGCAGATCTCTGTGAGTTTGAGGCCAGCCTGGCCTCCAGAGCAAGTGTCAGGATAGGCTCCAAAGCTACACAGAGAAACCCTGTCTCAAAAAACCAAGAAAAAAAATCATAGAAGAAAACTTCCCCAACCTAAAGGAGGATATGCCAATGAAAGTACAAGAAGCTTACAGAACTGGACCACAAAAAGAAGTCCCCTAGCTACATAATAATCAAAACACCAAACAGAATAAAGAAAAAATATTAAGAGCAGAAAAGGAAAAAGGCCAAGAAACATATAAAGGCAAACCTATCAGAATTATATACGACTTCTCAGTGGAAACTCTGAAAACCAGAAGGTCTTGGATAGATGTTCTACAAATCCTAAGGGAAGATGGATGCCAGCCCAGACTACTATACTCAGCAAAGCCTTCAATCACTATAGAAGGACAAAACAAGATATTCCATAACAAAACCAGATTTAAACAATACATATCCACAAATCCAGCCCTACAGAAAGTACTGGAAGGAAAACCCCAACCCAAGGAAAATAACTACACTCACAAAAACATAGCCAATAGATAATCCCACTTTACCGAACACCAAAAGAGAAAAGGGGTGGGGAATCCACATACAATACCAACAACAACAACAAATCCAAAACAAACAAGAATTAACAATCAAAGGTCATTAATATTCCTCAATGTCAATGGTCTTAACTTGCCTATAAAAACACATAGGCTAACAGAACAGATACAAAGACAGAATTCATCCTTCTGCTGCATTATCTCAGAGTAAAGGGTTGGGAAAAGATTTTCCAATCAAATGGACTCAAGAAACAAGCTGGTGTAGCAATCCTAGTATCTAACAAATTAGACTTTAAACTAAAATCAATCAAAAGAGATGAAGAAGGTCATTTCATATTCATCACAGGAAAAGTCCATCAAGATGAAGTCTCAATTCTGAACATCTATGACCCAAATATGAAGGCAACCACATTTGTAAAAGAAACATTACTAAAGCTCAAATCACACGTAAAACCTCCCACAGTTATAGTGGGGAACTTCAACGCCCACTCTCACCACTAGACAGGAACACCAGACAGAAACTTAACAAAGAAACAAAGGAACTAACAGAAGTTATGACCCAATTGGGATTAACAGAGGAGGGAAGAACATCCCATCCAAACAAAAAAAAATATCCCTTCTCAGCGCCACACAGAACCTTCTCTAAAATCGACCACACACTCGGCAACTTAGCAAACCTCAACAGATTCAAAAAATTGGAATAACCCCCTGTATCCTATCGGATCACCATGGTTTAAAGTTAGAAATCAACAACACCACAAATTGCAGGAACCCTACAAACTCATGGAAATTGAACAATGTGCAATTGCAACATTCCTGGGTCAAGGAAGAAATAAAAAAAAAGAAAGAAATTAAAGACTTTGTAGAACTCAATGAGAATGAAGACACAACATACCCAGACTTATGGGACACTTTGAAAGCAGTGCTAAGAGGAAAGTTCATGTGGGCACTTAATGAAACTGGAAAATAGTCACACTAGAGAATTAACAGCACAACTGAAAGCTCTAGAACAAAAAGAAGCAAACTCACTCTGGAGGAGTAGATGCCAGGAAATAATCAAATTGAGGGCTGAAATCAATAAAGTAGAAACAAAGAAAATAATACAAAGAATCAATGAAACAAAGAGTTGGTTCTTTGAGAAAATCAACAAGACAGACAAACCTTTATCCAAACTAACCAAAAGGCAGAGAGAGAGCATATTAATTAGAAAAATCAGAAATGAAAAGGGGGACATAACAGTGGACACCTGAGGGAATCCAGAGAATCATCAGGTCATACTTTGAAAACCTGTACTACACAAAATTGAAAAATTTAAAGGAAATAGACAATTTTCTGGATAGATATCACTTACCAAAATTAAATCAAGAACAGACAAACAATTTAAATAGATCTATAACCCTTAATGAAATAGAAGCAGTCATCAAAAGTCTCCCAATCAAAAAAAGTCCAGGGCCAGATGGTGTCAGTGCAGAATTCTACCAGAAATTCAGAGAAGAGCTAATACTCCTCAAACTGTTCCGTACAATAGAAGCAGAAGGGACCTGGCCAAACTCATTTTATGAGGCTACAATTACCTTGGTACCCAAGCCACTCAAAGACACAACTAAAAAAGAGAACTACAGACCAATATCCCTCATGAACATTGATGCAAAAATACTCAATAAAATACTGGTGAATCAAATCAAAGAACACATCAGAAAAATCATCCACCATGATCAAGTAGGCTTCACCCCAGGGATGCAGGGATGGTTCAACATACAAAATCCATCAGTGTAAATCACCATATAAACAAACTTAAAAAGAAAAACCACATGATCATCTCACTAGATACTGAAAAAGCCTTTGACAAAATCCAACACCCCTTCATGATAAAGGTCTTGGGGAGATCAGGGATAATACCTAAACATAATACCTAAACATAATAAAAACAATATACAGCAGACCAACAGCCAACATCAAACTAAATGGAGAGAAACTCAACTGGATTCCTCTAAAATCAGGAACAAGACAAGGCTGTCCACTCTCTCCATATTTCTTCAATATTGTCCTTGAAGTTCTAGCTAGAGCAATAAGATAACAAAAGGAGATCAAGGGGATATGATTGGAAAGGAAGAAATCAAACTTCTGCTGTTTGCAGATGATATGATAGTTTATATAAGTAACTCAAAAAAACTCTACTAGGGAACTCCTACAGCTAATAAACACCTTCAGCAAAGTGGAAGGATACAAGATTAACTAAAAAAGAAAAAATCAGTAGCCCTACTATATATAGACGATAAATGGGCTGAGAAAGAAATCAGAGAAACATCACCCTTTACAATAGCCACAAACTACATTAAATACCGTGGGGCAATGCTAACCAAACAAGTGAAAGACCTATATAAAAAGAACTTTGAGTCTTCAAATAAAGAAATTACAGAAGATACCAGAAAATGGAAAGATCTTCCATGCTCTTGGATAGATAGAATAAACATAGTAAAAATGGCAATCTTGCCAAAAACAATCTACAGATTCAATGCAATCACCCATCAAAATCCCAACACAATTCTTCACAGACCTTGAAAGAACAATACTCAACTTTAAATGGAAATACAAAAAACCCAGAATAGCCGAAACAACACTGTGCAATAAAGGAACTTCCAGAGGCATCACCATCCCTGACTTCAAGCTCTATTACAGAGTTAGAGTCCTGAAAACAGCTTGGTATTGGCACAAAAATGGTGATATTAACCCACACACCCACAAACACCTGATTTTGTTTGTTTGTTTGTTTTGTTTTGTTTTCCAAGACAGGGTTTCTCTGTGTAGCTTTGGAGCCTATCCTGGCACTTGCTCTGCAGACCAGGCTGGACTCGAACTCACAGAGATCCGCCTGCCTCTGCCTCCCGAGTGCTGGGATTAAAGGCATGCACCACCAACGCCCGGCCAAACACCTGATTTTTGACAAAGAAGCTAAAGTTATACAATGGAAAAAAAGAAAGTGTCTTCAACAAATGGTGGTGGCATAACTAGATGTAGAAGACTGCAGATAGATCCATATCTATTGTCATGCACAAAACTTAAGTCCAAATGGATCAAAGACCTCAACATAAATCCAGCCACCCTGAACCTGTTGGAAGAGAAAGTAGGAAATACCCTTGAACGAATCGGTACAGGAGACAGCTTCCTGAACATAACACCAGTAGCACAGACACTGAGATTGACAATTAATAAATGGGACCTCCTGAAACTGAGAAGCTTCTGTAAGGCAAAGGTACATTTGAGTTCTCTTGGGACAGAGTGTAGTGAAGGGAAACAGATGCCCAACAGGTAGTCGGGGCAACAAAAATGAAATATGGGGCAGACCGAAGCACATAGGAAGAGCTGACAACAGAAGGAGGGCAAGGACTACAATCTGCACAGCGTGGTCAGGATGGATCTCACTGTCGAGCAAAGTTTGAACAGACTGATAGAGGAGGTGGGGCCCAGTTACCCACACATGTGGGAAGTCAGGCATGACAGTGTCTATCACTCGGGAGGTGAACAGAGGAAGACGGGCAGTATAAGGCCAATTTGAGCTACAGAGCAAGTTCAAGGCTAGTCTTGGCTACAAGAGACCCTGACTCAAAACAAAATAGGTTTCAGGTGTGTTTCTTCTTCTTCTTCTTTTTCTAATCTGTAAACAAGAGCAAAGGAAGAGATGAGATTAAAGACATAAAAGCGTAGCCTGACAACTATTATGAACACCAGCAGCTGCATTCTCTGAAAAAAAAAAATCACATCACTGATTGGCCACAGAGAACCAAGTCAGAGCAAGGAAATTGGTGGAAGCCCATACACTTAGTGGCTCCAGTTGAAGCCCAGGGCTTTGAAGACCATGGTGGTTCCATGCAACACAGTTTGAAAATTGACACATCTACAAGGCCACATAGACTTTCCTAATGTGTAGGTACCACTTTGTGGGATCAGACATCTCTGTAACCTCTGCCTGTGCATACAACTTACTAAAAGCTGGGTTGGGAGATGACTCAAGGGATCATGCGCCTGCACACCTAAATCTGAAGACCTGAGTTCAGATCACCTAAATCTACATCAAACCAGACACAGAAGGGAGCATCTGTCCGGGCAGCACAAGATGGGAGACAGGAGGATTCCCTAGAAGTTTGTGGGCGAGCTAGCTGGCATCTAAAACCTGCATAGGATTCATTGTCTCAAAGTGGTAAGCAACACTGAAGCTGCCTTCTGAGCTTCACATGTGTGTGGTGAACACATATGAACACATACATGTTCTAAAATTTTATTGAAAGTCATAGGTATGCACAAAGTCAAGTTGTAGTGTTTTATACTTTAATATGAAATTAAGCAACACAAATTGTAGGTGTGTTTTCTGATGTTTAATAATATAGTAAATAAGTCTACCCCACAAATTAGGCAGCAAGGTAACAACAGAAGAAAGGAAGGAAGGAAGGAAGGAAGAAGAAACTTCATTTTGTTCAATTATTTCTTCTCATAATAATATAATATACTACTAACAATAAAAATAATAAGATGAAAGACTGGTTTGTGTGAGATCACATAGAATGAAGTATTAAATTACCACCGTAATACCAATGTCTCAGTCCTAGGCTAATGCTCATTTCACTACGGTTTGGAGAGTGTATTCATAGAAATCCTATTAAGTCCTGACTCAGCTGGGCGATGGTGGTGCACGCCTTTAATTCCAGCATTGGTGAAGCAGAGGCAGGCGGATCTCTGTGAGTTCGAGTCCAGCCTGGTCTACAAGGCTCAAGTCCAGCCAGGACAGGCTCAAAAGGACACCGAAAAACCCTGTCTTGAAAAAAACAAAAACAAAACAACACCAAAAAACCCGCAAACAAACAAGTCCTAAATCAATATTCAGAATGTGCTGGCATTGCCTCCTGCGCATGCGCTTTCCCCCTCACCTCGCTTCATGGCTCTGGGACTGCTGGGCCCACTGCGGTTGCGCGTATCTGACTCCGATGTCCTGGAACTGCACCTGGAACTGTCCTCTTCCTCTGAGCCAGAGGAATCATCCAGGAAAGGACTGCTACTTATTTGTGTCGCCTTCTAAAGAAAAGCAGTACAGCCCCCCTGTATCCATCTCTGAAGTCACTATCCTCTTTAGACATATATTGCTTTATAGAAATCGGGCATAGGTCTATTTTTAAAAGAAAGATATTTCGATATCACAAAAGTCTGTCTTCGAAAACCTTAGATTCTAATTAGGTAGGAATCTGTCTATTATAAAAGATTCTTGAAAACATAAGACTGTCAAAATGCGACAGCCCTTGTTTTAATTAGGTTCTTCTGGCAAAGGGGACCCTGGCAGGAACACAAAGACCTTTCTAAATTAGGAGTTTCCACTGCATCATTAATAATATGCCATCAGTCCGGGGTGGGGGAGAGGAGGAACCACATCACAACCATCTTCTCCAGGCCTTTCCATATCTTCATTTTTATGATATATTCATGTGAACTTTTAAAGTTCTACAAAGCGGGGAAGCTATGTAAAATGTTCCTAGAGGAACGTGGAGCTTGAAGGGAGTTCCCCGGCACATCCTGCAGAGAGACCTGAATGTCTAACAGCAAGAGATGGATTCATTACCCCCTTTAACGTTGTGTACACTGGGATCGTCATATTCTTGTATAACAGGGATGTGTAAAGACCTGATGCAGAGTAGGAAAGTATGGTTGCAGAATCTGAAACAAAAAAAACAGCGTAAGAGAAAAACATTCCACCTAATGCAATGGTCTATCTCTTATCAACATATTAAAAAGAAATCAGATTAACAGGCTAATGGTATTCTTTGAGTTATGACATTTCTAGATTTACATCTGCAGGCTCTGATTTTTAGATTCTTACTATGGAACCCAGGCTAGCATCAAACTAGCGGCGATCTTCCTGTCTCAGCCTTCTGATTGCTGGGATTATAGGCCCCATACACAGCTACAGATACTGTTTCGAACGGGCCATTACTTCTCATGAGTGCCAGCTCCTCGACTAGACTGTATGCTCTGACAGCAAGATCCATGCTTTTATGTCTGTAGCCTCTCCACTCATGCTTAGCTGTGTAGAACTAAGCATCAAATGACCACTGACTGATCAGAAAGTCCCTTTGAAGATGTCCTCTGGGGGTTGGAACCCTGCCTCTGACTTGGTGTTAAGACACTGTCATTCTTAAGCCCTGTCAGGAGACTGCGGTGATGATGGGTTACAATGTATTCTCCTGAACTAGGACAGAACATCAAGGTTACCACTCTAGATGAGCTAGTTGGAAGACAAGTGGGAGGCAAGAAGAACCACCTTCGGAAGTCTGTCTTATTCTAGACACTTCTGTGCGAATTATTTTGGTTTGTTTTTATATTTTTGAGACACAGTCTCATGTAACCCAAGCTAGCCTTGAACCCACTATGTAGCTGAGGCTAGTCTTTAGCTCTGGATCCCTTCCTGCCTTTACCTACCAAGTCTTGGTCTTATTTTTTTCTAGTGGGAATGATTGCTTCTATTAGAACTTTTTGAAGGAAAGAGGGAAAAAGATATAGAAACCAGTAGTTTTATAATTTCTGTAACTTTAAACAGATAAAATGCCCACATCTCTCTGCTTTGCCTTCTTGGGATAAAAACAGAACAGAGCACACTCTACACCAGGGTTGACTGTACTTGTGCCTTTCTCCTGGATAAATGAACATCATTTTTAAAACAAATCAGCAACCGTTTCCTGAACACTTACAAAACTCCACTATTCCGGTAACATTAGACTTTTAGGTAGATTTTGCCTAGTGTAGCAGCAGTACGAAATTATATAGCTTTAAAAACCCTTTTATTAGTTTTTTTTTTAAGTTGTAAACAGTCAAATTCACCAGCTTAACCTCTTTAAGTGTATTATTGGCTAGGGTGGGGTTTTACCCACATTGTCATAAAACAGACCTCTAGAACTTTTTCATCTGACATTTTAAATCCAATGTCATCTCCCCTTCCCCGATTTCCCAGCCCCTGGTAGTCTGCTTCTGTAATTCTGATGGCTTTGATGACCTCATCAACCCACAACTGTATGCTCCTGCCTCTCACTGGCTGCCTCCCACACCTGCTCCAGACTATGCTGCTCATGGCCTCAACCTCAAGGCTCACTGGCTTCACAGCATGCAAAGCACTTACTTTCATTAGCATTCTCCATATTGAAGACCTCAGACATTCGAATGCCTGATTTGGCTACAGCGTATATTCTGCTTTCCTAATATAAAAGAGAGATTGAACCAGGTGCTTACAGCCAAGAAATGATTACACGGAACATAATACTTTTCATTAGTTCTTCAGATTGTTATCTGAAGAAGTGGAGTATAGTGTTATCAAAAAGCTTATCAGTGCCAATAAAACACACTATGGTGAGTAACATGTGCAGATTTCCCTCCCCCATTCATTAGTTATTCCATTATTTCCTTTTGTTCCCAAATGTGGGCTTGGTATCTTGACCTCTCTAGAAGATATAAGAATGATCAGCTGGACGTTGGTGGCTCATGCCTTTAATCCCAGCACTCGGGAGGCAGAGGCAGGCAGATCTCTGTGAGTTCAACGCCAACCTGGTCTACAGAGCGAGTTCCAGGAAAGGCTCCAAAGCTACCCAGGGAAACCCCCGCTCAAAAAACCAAAAAAAAAAAAAAAAAAAAGATGGTGAGACAATCTTATTCACAGTCACTGACCATAGATAAACCCTACCTTTGATATGCTAACATTTTACGCATGTTATAGTTTTTTTTAAGGGGGGAAACATGGCATAGCTGTAACACGAAGCCAAGAATTGTTTATAGTCATTGATTACACACAGATATCTTCTTTAATATCCTACCACAGTTAGAAAAACGAAAAGGAAAAAAACTCGCATTGGGAATCATAGTAGAGATTTGAATGTTACTGCCTTCTCACTTCAGTGTACATTTCGGTAATGTAAAATAGACTTTGGGTCAAATAAGAAATGGATTTGAGAGTTACACTGGCATTGTTCCAAGAGTAGCTTATTAGTTCCTCTTCTCCAAGAAAGATCGATGAAGTGGGTACTGCAAGATTAGCATCACTGCCTAATGAGAAAAAGGACCCCAGTGGTTCCCAGGGCACAGATCACCGCGCCTTTCATAAAAGGTCTACACTTGAACACGGTGACCTGGACCAGAACACAGTAGGCAACTGACACCATGTTCATCTTCCAGGATGGCAGTTGCCACAGTAACTGGCAAGAGATCGCTGATGATGGGGAGGCGTTAGATTGATGAGTGCCAGTGGGATTGACACACAGAGATTAATAGCAGAGATCAATTAGAAAGTCTGTAAAGCTAAGGCAGTATGAGCAGGAGCTTGGTGGTAGTCAGAGTTCACGTGGAGCATGAGACAGCAGGAAGCAGGAAGGAGTGTGGAAAGAGTTGCCATAGATAAGAGGACAAGCCCAGCCAAGGCAGGCCACTTATTTATAAAGGGCAGGCCATCAGAGGTATTGCTGGATCACAGGTTGTCCCACCTGAGTGACTATCACATTCCCAATGATGCTCTAATTCAACCAGGATAGGCCTGCTTTAAATTAGCCTCTTACTGACTGAGGTAGCTAGAACATCTCCTGGAAACCTGAGGAAACCTGAAAATGCCCATGAACCTTCGCCCATGGTCAGTCCACTAGAACAGTTGAAAAGCAATACTACTTTTCCAGGACCAAAGGGCTTCAAGAGAGAAAGAGAAGGAAATGGTAAAATTGCCAAATAAAATGAACTTGGAAGCTTAGCATTGGTCTTTGAAAATCTCAAGGTAACAAAAGAAGCCAAATTTCAACTTACTCCTGCCTAAGGGCAACAAGACTAGAATTCCAGAGACTCGCATGCCATCCGCTTCTACTTTTTTTGTGCCATGCAGAATTTAGCAATAAGCAAGAGGCAGTTTCAAGTGGATCCCGAAAGGAAAAAATGTTCTCTTGAAGGTAAATAAAAAGCAGACACATCTCAAAGTCTGAATTTATATTCGGGAAGCCATGGCTGTCTTATTTTGCTTACAATTACAGCGGCCACTAAATAAAATAACCACAATAAAAGGAACATGACTCCCAAATCCAAAATACCCGGTAACCCAGATGTTTCTTTTTGAAGCCCGAGGTTAAGTTGCGCCAATATGGGAAAGGAAATTTAAGTCTATAAAACAGGCCGATTCACTTAATTTTAAATATAGAGTATTGGGGCTGGTGAGATGGCTCAGTGGAGAAAGACACTTGTAGCTAAGTGTGACAAACTGAGTTTGATCCCAGGAGTCTGCATGGTGGATGAGAGACTCCCTGCAGACTGCCCCTGACCTCCACTTGTATACTATGGCATGCTCACCCCTCCCATGAATAAGTAAATGTTAAAGTTTAAAGCTAGAATACTTTTTTAAAGATCATGCAATGTAGATATTCCTAGGAAATATCACATAGTTGACAGGTTGGTTTTGTAGTCACAGTAAATGTTTCCACAGAAAATTCAGTCTCCTCTAGGTCAGTAGGAGGATGCTATAACTGAAGTAGTGGTTTCATAAGTTCATGAACAGTAAAGCAAAACCCCTTAAGTAATCCTCAAACCTCAGAACAATGACCAAGGAGAGTTAAGAGCTGCTTCACAATCCACTCCAAAGTATCAGTTAGAAGGAGCCCTTCTCCTCATCCCCATCACGTCTCCTCCGTGTGGGGCCTCCAGTCACTGAATACTACCACTCTCCCTCACCCCTTGGTATGCATAGCCCAGCACCGTTCCTCTCTGCCTTGAGAAGGAACTCCCACAAGCATCAAGCATCTTCCTATGGTAAGAGTTAAAGGGGCCCTGGTCTCGCTTCCCCCAGGAGGAAGTCGGTGTGATCTAGCTCCAGCTTGGGCCGGCATGAACAAATCTAATTCCAAAGTCTAATATTCATTTGCCCTCCGATTGCCCTGTCTAGAAATAAAGTCACAGCTTTGAATTTCCCACCTGTCTTGTTCTCAATCTTTTTTTGTTTTTTTCAGAACGTGGTTGGGGAGGAGTAGGGGACATTATATTCTGATAACTGGAACTTGTCAGAACAATGCCATATTTGAAAAGGAACAGGGGTAGGGGATGGGAAACCTGAAAGTGAACGCTGAGAAGAAGCCCCGAGTTATGTGCTGCAGACAGGAATGTAATTACCCAAGAGGGAAAGCGATGCAAAGGAGGTGTGGGAGGTTTGCTGCAGGAGGCCTTCTTTGTGGGCTCGCTGGTTTCCTGGTCATCTGCATTCGGAGAATCCAGGGAGTCATAGGAAAATAACCTGTCATCACAGCCTGTGTCCATGCTCTCCACCACTTCCAAGCCATCACCATCAACTACATCAAGATCTGTTTCCTGAGGTCTCAGCGGCCGGATCATGCTTATGGCATTCCTGTTCATGCCAAACATCCGGTCCGAACATAACTGTGGCTGGCTCAGGTGCCTTTTGGTGAGCGCCACACTTATACTGAAAACATTGGGGATCCTTAGCTTTGGGGGTGGCAGGTATACTGGAGGCACCAACTGCGTTCCTTTCCCGGGGAGTGAGTTAGGATGTTTGGGAGTTAAAGCTGGGGTCAAAATAGGGCTTGGGGTGTTGGCCTCACTTGATGAGGATGAATAATCCAAGCGCTGGGACTGGAATTTCTTATTTAGCTCATCCGAGGAACTGTCTTGCTCCTTTATGCCCGCCTGAGAATTCCCCTTTGCAAGGCTGTTCTGAGCTTTCCACGGGGCCTTCTGCTGCCAAGAATACAGTTTCTTGGGCTCCGGCCGGCTAACGCCAAAAGCCTCTTCTTCAAATATAGAACTGCTGTCATCAGATGCAGTGAGATACGCTTCGCTACCCATCCTGTCACACTGTACGCCTTCCTCGGACGTGTGGCTAGAAAGGATGGATGTACACCTGGACTTGGACCGGCCCTTGCTTTGGTCTTCCTCGTCAGAACTCCAGTCACTCGCCGGAGCCCCGGAATTCTGGGACGTCCCACCATCCGTCGCAAAGCTCGCTCTCGTTTTCCGGTTCGGTTCTGAGCTGCAAGGGGTCTCGTGCAACTTCCTCTGGCTTCTGTTTTCTTGGACTTGGTTATCAGCAGGCTTCTCTGCAATTTCCATCTCTGGAGGAAGATACATCACATTGGCAGGTTGCCTTTAATAATGAAACCTTTATGTAACTACGCTGCATGTACGCATTACCCTGCCTGACTACACTGTAGAGACTGTCGATTTCATGTGAATTTATCAACTTACACTGTTCTTTGTTAGTTTTATGCCTTTTTAGACAAGTTTGTAAACTGAGGGATTTATAAAAACATGGAATCCTTATACTTCAATTTAATTGTATCAAAAATAAATTGAGTTTTAGAAACAAATATGTTGGGAAATGAACATTGACAACAATCTAAAGAGAGAAAGCAGAGTGTGAAGTGGGGGTCTGATAGGCAACGAAAGAAGCTGCCAAAAATACAAACGCCATTAATTCCATTTTAGAAGCAGAGAAAATGACAGCCCTTCTCCCACTAATCTTAAAAATCATCATAACAGCCGGGCATTGGCGGCACACGCCTTTAATCCCAGCACTTGGGAGGCAGAGGCAGGCAGATCTCTATGAGTTCAGGCCAGCCTGGTCTCCAGAACGAGTGCCAGGACTGCCTCCAAAGTTACACAGAGAAACCCTGTCTCGAAAAAAAAAAAAAAAAGCAAAAAAAAAAAAAGCAAAAAACAATCATCATAACATAAGTCTAAACATAAACACAAAGCCCTAATTTAAGAAACAAATTTTGTGCGGGATGGTGGTGGCATACTCCTTTAATCCCAGCACTGAGGTGGCAGAGGTCAGCCTGGATTATAAAGTGAGTTATTTCCAAGACAGCCAGGTCTATAAAGCAAGTTCCAGGACACCCATGGTTACACAGAGAAACCCTGACTCGAAATACCAAAAATATAAAATAAAATAAAATAATAAAATAAATAAAGACAAACTTTGTGCCCACAATTTAATACATAAAATGTGCAACTTCACAGAAAAACTTTCTTCTACTCTTGGTTTAACTGCAACTACAATGTGTATTTTAATAATAAGAATAGCACACGCCTTTAATTCCAGCACTTGGGAGGCAGAGGCAGGTGCCTCTGTGAGTTCAAGGCCAGCCTGGTCTAGAGAGCTAGTTCCAGGACAGCTAGGACTCTTACACAGAGAAACCCTGCCTGGGGGGGGGGAATGGGGGGAGAGAATAACATCTTTAAATGCCTTTAGATATGGGTTCCATTTGTTAACACTATGAGAAAAGGAATGCACGAATAGCTTCATAAATAATGGCCTAAAAGGAACTTTGAAAATATAAATATGAACTTCACAACTAAGGAACTAGAGGCTGAACAAAGATGCCCTCAAGTTTTGTAGCAGCTGTTAGTTACATTGGGAAGGAGAGGAAACAGGCTTCTTGGAGAAGTAAACGAAATGGGTAACAGCAAGACATAGGTAACTGGAAAAGCATGATGTAGTGTTCAGAATGCCAAAACCAAGCCCAGTGGCAACTTTCATGGCTAGCATTTTTCTCAAGCACTGGAAGGAAACCAGATCCAGTGTAACTAAGTTGCAAACTCAACCTTCCCTCCAACTGTTGGGAAAGTCAACAAAAAAGATTGCCTTTGGGGTGTTATAGTCAGGCTGCATGCAACACCAGGCAAAATTCAGAGGGAAGCTGTGAAGAGAAGAGCCGGAAATCTTCATGCAGGACCAGGGTCAGATTATCTAGGTGATATTTTCTTCTCTGAGGTAACAAAGAAAGTAGTTATCAAAGTACCCTCCCACCAAGTGTTCATTTCTTTATGTATCTGGTAGGCCAGTATTGATTTCATGTTTAATATTAAATTAAAATATTTTAAATATTATTTAAAATATATTATTTTAAAAATATTATCAAGAAGCTACAAACACAGATGCAAAATTCTCACCTGAAACCGGGTTAAAATGCACACATGCATGCATGTATGGATCCCCAAATCTTGTAGTTAGAATTATAACCTTTTATATTTTAAATACCTTTCCACCTGACGCAGGAGAAAACACTAAGATGGGGGAAGTCAGTTGATCCTCTGTGCCCCTGGCAAAAACCTACATTAAAACACAATATAACTGGATACAAAGTTCAGTGTCGTATGGCTCTTGTTAACTATTCCCTTGAAGAACTGAGGTGTTGGGGAGAACCATGCTTAATTCTGGTTACTCTTTGTGAGTGATGTTGTGGCTTTTTTAAAAAAAGGCTCGGGTAGATTGCCAGAGTTCGAAAGTACCTTCTATGCATTTTTCTTCAGTGAACTCGGGTTCTTTACATGCCATCTTGCTAATTTCCTCGGATCTGACGACATGAGAAGGACTCTTTGCTCGGGACAGGAAGCATCCAAACGTCAAACTGCTCAGGTTCTGCCCTTCTGAGAGCTTCGGCGTGGAGACGCAGGATACCTTCTTCCCCTGGAGTTCTGCAAGGTTGAGAAGCAAAATGGAGTGGAACTTTTAGGGCTGTTTGTTAGACGTGGAATAAAAGGGTAGAAGGGCTTGAATAAACTACTCAACACCAGAAAAAAGACTGAATTTCATCTTTTACTAATGTATAGTGAATGGAAACCCCAACATAGAGCATAGGAGCCTAAATCCAGCCCCCCCCCCCCCCCCCCGCCGTGTGTGTGTGTGTGTGTGTGGTGTGTGTCTGTGTGTGTCTGTGTGTGTCTGTGTGTGTGCGCATGTGCACTCACGCGAGTGCGAACAAGTGTACATGCATGCATGCATTAATGCCGGGCTGGGGGTTCAGTGGGTAAAAGCACTTGCTGCCAGTCCTGGTGACCTGACTTCAGTCATAGGATCACTAATCATGGGTTTAATCTAGTGGTTCTCAATCTTCCTAATGCTGGGACCCATTAATACAGTTCCTCATGTGGTGACCCCCAAACATAAGATTATTTCCACTGCTACTTCATAATTGCAATTTTGCCACTGTTACAAATCGTCATGTAAATATCTGATGCGTAATCACAAAGGGGGTCACGACCCACAGGTTGAGAACCATTAGTTTAACCCGTCATTAGGACTCTTTACATTGTTGCTTGTCACATCAGAGGCATGGAGGCTCCAGGAAGAAAAGTTCCTGAGGAAGTTAATTTCAGAGCACTGGGAAAGCAACAGAAAGGCGAAGTGTGCTATGCTAAGAAACAACTGATAATCGGAAAAAGTATTTCTAGCGTATTTCTTCAGGGGTTATCTTTAAAGTATTTCAGTTGATCATCTATCACAGAACTGAGACACAATAATATAGTAATGATTGTGTACATTACGCCTAAATTCCATGGACCCTGCAGCTGTGGATTTAACCAATGTGAATCAAAAATAATTAGGAAAAAAAATCTGTCTCTACTGAATATGGACAGATGCTTTACTATGATTCTCTAAAAATACAATCTAAGAAATATCTAGATATCTCCCTTTTATTAGACATTGTAGTAATCTAGAATATCATTAGCGTTTGAAATCCATGGGGATCCTAGCATCAGTCTTCTGTGGATACTGATGAAAAACTGCGTGTGTGAGCTCGCACACACATACACACTTGTGTGTGTGACATATACAGATACTTTGTACATATAGACAATATTATAATATGTACATATATATTTTGCAAATACATTAAATCTAGCATACACATGGCATCTACGCTTCAGTCTAAGCCTAGTTTTCAAGGATCAGAACCTCTTAGTATACAAAACCCAAGAGACTGTCAATGAAGACTAGAACTGCAAGCCAGGGATATCATTGAAATTGACAGTCTTTTGCAAATAGAATTGGTTCATCAAACCTATTTCAGAGAAGGTGAGTGTCAGGAAGTCAGGAAACCTCAATTCTCAATATGGACCTTCAGATCAGTTATGGCAGTGCCTGTTTTTTTTTTTTTATCATTCAGATGGAGGAAATGAAAGCAAGTATTAACATGCTCTAAACAAATTGCCTTGCCAGGTGTAGCAGCACCTGTAATTCTGGCTGATAATGTGTGACATTTGCAACAACCAGAAGGAGGCACCTGAGAACCCACAGAACATATCCCAGTTGTCTTCAAAGAACACCAAATTCAGGGGCATGTTCAGAATGCATGAAGCCTTCAATGCAGGTACAACTAACTATACCACATTGCTGACTTGTTAATCCCACTAAAAGGGTCTATTCTTTCTAAGGCCAAAGTTTAAGTCTTAGAATGCTGAAGTGCAAACCTCTAACACAAATACCCCTACCACTCGGCTTCGTATTACTTTCTCTGTTCGGACAAGATTAACAGAGCTATGTAGTGCTACATTGCTTGGAAGGACCAAAAATGCTGCTGGAGTCAGCACTGGTTTGATGTAATCCCTGAACTGCAAGGCTGACATTAACATGTAGTAGTTTCAGCATATTGGATTCTTTTTTAAAAATTTATTTATTAGTTCTAGTTAGGGAACAAGCTTGTTTCAAATGTGCATATTGGATTCTTTAGATCTTAAATGGATTGTCTTTTAGGAGAGAGAGGCGAAATTACTATGCAGTCATATTTTCTATAGACACTTTGATAAATTGATATATCATTGATCTATCATTATTCATCTTTGTTTGCCTTTGATTCCTCAGTCCAACATCTCCTAGGTACAGGATTTGGGTTGGTAGGAGAAATTCTTTTTCATTGACTGACAATAGCATCTTACACAATATTCTTAATTAGACCATTAAAACACAGGCAAAATGATAATAAACTCCTATATAGCCAAATAAATCCAGCTAAGATATCTTAATGAAAAATCTATGTACCTTGCAACTTTGACTGTATTGCTCTTATCTCTTCAGTTTGGGCTTGGTTGATGAAACGAAGATTCTGATTCTCTACTTCCAGCTAAAAGAATATAAAATCATATTATTTAATCTAGGAATAACATCTTTAAAATGCACTAATAAATTATAAAATTTAGAAAATGACAATTTATAATTACTCTATTTGCAAACTGGTGAACTTATCAGCACTGATTATCAATTTTAATAATTATATCATCAATATTTATTTGTCCAGAGCTAAAAGCTTCTAACCCTATGTACTTCCCACTATAAAACAATTTTAAAACAACTATTTCAGCATTTAGTTTATGTTTCTCAGATACCAAACCTATTAATTGTATGATATATAACATGCAATATTCATAATTATTTAAAATTAACCCATTATAATATGGCTATTTACAGTCATTGCCATGAGTCTATCAATATTTTAATTTTAAAAGTATAATGGATATTAAAATGAAAGCAGTCTATCTCAAAATTACCAAAATATAGGACCATAACCAATTAACTGAAATTTTATGTCTCTCAGGGTTGTGTATGTGTATTCTGGAGGCTTTGATCAAAAGAAGTAAATAATAAAGGAAAAACATAGCGATAAATACCTCATTTAACTTAACTGTTACCCATTCCTTGATCTTAGCCGCCTTTTCTTCTATTATTTTAGCTTCTTGTATTCTCACTTGTTTCTGAAATAACAACAACTTGTTTAGGTCAAATGTAAGCTCCTTGGCTTGGAGACATCGAATAGTAAAATATAGAAGGCAAATCCACTTAGGACCTGTTTCCAGGTTAATACATTTACCTCCAAGAAACCAAACAGATTTTTAAAAGCCCAAAAATGCCAGGCAGAGTAGTCCATGCCTGTAATCCTTACCCTTGGAGGCTGAGGGAGGAGGATCATGAGGACTAGGGCCAGCCTGAAACAGTAGCTCTTGTTAATGGGAAAAAACAAACAAACAAAACAACCCCCAAGAAACAACAACAGATAGGGGACGATAGGAAGGAAAGAAAATCTGTTCAGCAGATAAAGAAGTCAAAAGGCCCATGCAGATGTGAAGATAACACCTGACCCCATGGGAGAAAACCTCTGGGCATGTCTGAGGGCTTTTCTAAATTGAGTTAATCAATGGGAAAGCCCCCCTTAAATCTAGATGCCACCATTCCATTGACTGGGGCTTTGGGCTGAATAAAAGGAGAAAGTGATGGACCGTACCCTCAAACTGGGAGATACAGAACTGTTCCTTCCTCAAGTTACTTTCGTGAGGTGTTTTGCTGAAGCAACAGGAAAATGTCTATCTAGTACCACAAGCACTGCTAATTTGAGCAGTGTTCATCTCTTCCTCTCCGGTACTCACACAATGAAGTGAATCCCCTAAATATATCAACAAAACGAACCATTTCGGGATCAGTAGAATTGGATCAACTAAAGTGTGGGGAAGAAACACAAATCCACTTAGGAACAGGGCTGTTTTCTCCCTCAAACACTAGTTTAAAAAATCCAGAAAAACAGAGAAATTCTAGTTCATAGTTAACAGCCTTAAAACCTGGTCACAAAACTACTGAGAATGTGAATAGCATGTAAATCACAACGGGTGGCAGTTGGGCTGCTAGAAATAGGAAAAAAAAAAAAAAAAAAAAAAAAAAAAAAAAAAAAAACAAACCACTGGCCTAAAACACTGACCCCATAGAAAAGTGAAAAATTTAATGCATTTAATAAACATAGCAGTCACATTAAAATGACATTAAATGGCTACTTAAGTAGCTATTGGATCCTAATGCAAATTTTTATTTATTTTTTGAGATAAGGTTATTACTCTGTAGCCTTTGAGGCTGGCCTCAAACTCATGACGATCCTCCTGCATCAGCCTCTCTAGTGCTGGGATGATAGGGATGAGCTATTACACCCACCCAGCTCCTAGTGAATTTTTGTCATAAAACTTACATTACTCTATGTGCTCAAATGACGCAGCCAATAACTGTACATTTCTGAGCAGAAGGAAGATTAGTGCCAAACATAAATCTATACAATGTCTGTAAATACTTTTTTCTTTAGATAGCCTCATCATGTTGTCCAGACTGGCCTCAAACTAATCATCCTCCGGGATTCTGGGATTACAGGCATGGACCGCCATACCCAGTTTGGCTGAAATGTTTTATGGACACAAATGCCTATTATAAACTAAACACTTCCAAATGAAAAACATCACATTTAAACTGTAAAGTCTGAGTGTTAAGTAACATTGACACTTCTAAAAAACTACTAAATCTGGGACCAGAGAGATGGCCCATGAGTAAAGGCCCTTCTGCCACACCTCATGTCGTGAGTTCTATCAGCACACGGTGGAAGCAGAGAACCGACTCCTGTAAGGTGCTCTCTGACCTCTACACACACACACACACACACACACACACACACACACACACTTGTAATAAAAAGTATTAGATCTTGCCTTGAGGCCTTGAGTCACCCAAGACATGAAGGGAATGGCATTTTTACTTGTACCTGTAACTAACACATGTCACATAGTCCTAAGAGTCAGAGTTCCCTTCCAGGTAAACAGATTGCAGTTAGGCCTTTAATTACATATTAACGAGCACACATACATATGTATTTTTTGTTTTTTCGAGACAGGGTTTCTCTGTGTAGCTTTGTAACATATCTTTACACTCACTCTGGAGACCAGGCTGGCCTTGAACTCACAGAGATCCGCCTGCCTCTGCCTCCCGAGTGCTGGGATTAAAGGCGTGCGCCACCACCGCCCAGCATGAGCACATATTAATACAATTCATGATTCGGTTTCCCTAACCTGCTCTTCAAGCCGAAACTCCAAGTTCTGAATGATGCCATCCTTCTCCTGCATTACGGACTCCAGATCTTGATACTTCTTATAGAGCCGAGTCTCTGACTCACTGGTTTGAATATTAGCTGCTTTTAGTTTCTCCTCCATAACTTGTACCTAAATTCAGAGGACAAAATAGTAACATTAAGCCTTACTTCACATATCATAGTTTTAAAGCTTAGAATCTCGCTTTAACATTAGGTTCTTAAACGGTGTCACAAAGTGAAAATTATTAAACAGCAAGGTATAATGTATTATGAGGATTTTAAAATCTGAAGGCCATTTTTGACAAGTGGTGTTACCTAAGGGTTGGTACCAGAGATCACTTCAGTGGAAAAACAGACAATAAGTGTAATCATAGACACATACAACTCAACAGTACAGTATACGGTTAGTGAGTGTAACAGACGTGAGGCTGGCAGGTTAGCCATGCTTCATTTTGTTTTGTTTTGATTTTGTTTTTTGTTTGTTTGTTTTTTATTTTTATTTTTCAGAGTCAGGGATTTTCTGTGTAACATCCCTACTTGTCCTGGAACTAGCTCTGGAGACCAGGCTGGCCTCAAACTCACAGAGATCTGCCTGCCTCTGCCTCCCGAGTGCTGGGACTAAAGGCGTGCATCACTATCACCCATCTCGTTTTTTAATGTCTAAACTAGACAGACCCTGCTTGGATCTTCTGCAAAGTACACAGAGGTATCCAGAATCTCTGAAGGGCATATTGCCGAGTCTGCTCACCCACACAGTCTGTGTGACTACCCAACTCAGAGAGGTTGACTCATCATCACCACTTTCTGATTGGCCCTTTTCTCTTTCTGCAGATCCCAAACCCGATCTCCACACTCTAGAGAGCCAAGCACTGGAAGCCTCATCTGAGACTTCATGGGAAGGTCTAAATAAAAGAGGTGTTTGTGATAGACAGAAAGTAAAGTGTTGAGAATGCTACACAGTGTTCTATAAATAAGTATCACTATAATATTCTTAATAGGTAAGGATGTAATTTTTACCAGAAGCTTGGCAATCATAGGCGTAAAGAAGAAAAATGAACACATCTGAGAAATTGAAGATGACAGTTCAAGCAAAAGCCTCAAGAAAAATCGTAGTGAGTCCTTAAAGCCAGTTGACATTTAGACATGTTTGACTAAAGGATATTTTTAGCAGGAAGTTCTGAAGGTGTGTTTGGTTTTATTTTTTTAACCATGAATACCAGGTTTCATCTGTGGGTTCACTGTGCAAATGTAACTTGGATCCAGATTCCAAGACAGCTCTAAGAAACACACAAACACACCCAGCTGGAAACTTTTGAAAACAAAAGCAGAGTTTCAAAACAGGAGGAAAATGTATCCTGCTCTTCAGATAATGATTTAAGTAGTCTTGGTTTTAGATTCTTTAACATAGACCAGTGATTTTCCTTGATGAGCTATAAAAAATCATTACAAAGACAAAGAGATTTTCCATGGATACTCAGTCTCCAAACATTCTTCCAGTTATAAACAGGATATTCTGTAGCTATAGAAGTAGGAAGAAAGTAGAACCCAATACTTATATGTCAGCTCCCCTCTGAGAATAAATAGAAAGAGAATCTCAAGAAAGACAAGTAGAGAGGTCCGGTCAGTTATGTGCCTGCTGTGCAAGGGTGAATGCTTGAGTTCAGATCCCCAGCACCCACATAAAAGCTGGGCATGGCAGCTCCCAGTGCTTGGAAGAAGGAGAAAGGTAGATCACTGCCCACCAGTCTAGGCAAATCCATGAGCTCTGTTCAGTCTTAATAAAGGACTCTGTTTCAAAACATGAAGAGGACTTCATCAAAGAATCCTCTTCCCGCAGTGGTCAATAAAGACTCATAAGTAGAGAGCAGAGAAGAAGTAACTGTAGAGTGTGCGGTGCTGAGTGGGATCTCTATACACACCACTTCCTCCTACCAAGCCCCAGAAGTGGGAGGTGGAATGAGTGTAAGAGCAGAGGTTCAGGAAGACTGCTTTGAAAATACGTCTTCTGGACATGACTGGGCCCTTGTAGTCATTAACTCCTCCCACAGCAGCCATGGTTGCTGCCACAAGAGCAAGCCAATCAACACTCAAACATGGAGAATGAAGAGCTACACTAGACCCCGCCTTTAGCTGGGTAGTTACTGGCAGCTGATGGCCACCAGGAAAGGGAGAGTCAGTTTTCTTGTGTCCTGTGGCCCATGGTTGGATGCTCATGGTCCAGTGGATGCTGCCCTATATACCCATGTGCACAATCAACTAATTGGACTCAGAGGGGAAGAAGGAGAAGGTGAGGGAGGAAAGATGACAACATGATGGAGTTGGGGGGTGCTGGAATTGTTGAGGGGAGGTTCAGGAGAAGTTGGAGTTGGTAAATTAGCACAGATAGATGTCATCTAACTACATGTATTCATCTATGAAATTACCAAAGGGTAAATTTTTAAAGAATTTAAAGGAAGAGAGTAATTGAGGAAGATACCTGACACTGATCTTTGATTTCTTCATGCACATGAGCATGTGTGTGTATGCACACACACTTGCACACACAGACACACACATACATACATGCACACACATACACACAGGCACACACATACACACATGCATACATGCACACACAGGCACACACATTTTATTTGGGTCTATCTTCATTGTATTTTCTGGACCACACACACACACACACACACACACACACACACACATGCACAAATGCATCCATACATACACACACATCATACACACACACACACACACACACACACACACACACACACCATATACATGTACCAGAGAGGGACAGAGAAGAATATGAACAAAATATAAGTAACCTTACAGTTGAGATAAGAAGTATCTCCCATCATGCTCATCATACATTGAAGGCTTAGCTTAGTCTTAGACTTGTAGACCCAGCCATTGCGATGTGGCTGAGCCCTGAGACCCCTGACTTCAGCAATGGATTGACCCACTGATGGCATTATTGATGAAAGGTGGGTGTAGCTGAAGTGGGGGTTATTTGAGAGTATGAATTTGGAGCTCTAGTTCCCTGATGGTATTCTTATATTTCCAGTGTGCGTCTGTTTCTCAGTCTCTGTCTCCCCTATCTACCCCCACTCCCCTTCTCGCTGTTACTGTAAGGTAAGCATCTCTATCTACTCTGTCACCAGCACTCTCATCACTGATGTTTTTACCTCACTGTGGGAGCCAGCCAACCAGAGACTGAAACCACAAGCCAAAAACAACCCCCATCTTTATCTTTCTCCTGTAAACAGTTTCTCTCAGGTTTTTGTTTGTTTGTTTTTGTTTTTTGTTTTTTTTTTTTGTTTTTGTCACAGCAATGCAAGGTCTGACTCTCCCAAAGCATGTGACAGCAGAGACAGACATTCACCTCTAGTCTCCTGTTGTGGGGTATTTCCATCACACTCTGACACTCCCAAGACTGACAATAAAATTCACTTTGAATCTGAGGGAGGAGCTAGCTACTAGCTGACCAAAATTAGCCATAGAGGTTTTGGAGGACAGAGGGAGGACATGTGGAGAGATAAGGGAAGTCATAGGGTGGGGCTTACAGAGATTCTTGGCCTTTGGGGTTCGAGAAAAGGAGAGAGGAGGTCACTGGTTGCTTCCCAGCCACTTCTTGGATCATTCAGGTTTGTTTTTTTGTGTTTCCCCTCCCCCCATATCTGACTCCTGAGTTTTTATTGTTAGGGAATAATTAGATAAACATTTCAGTCTCCTTTTATTAAGACAGAGCAACCACATTTGGTTGCTGCGTGGAACTGCCCTTTCATTACTTAGGAAAGGTCTATAGCTCTAGACAGCTAGGACCTGGAGCCACATCTTTAACTCAATGAACACAGTCTCTTGCTATGCATAAACACCAAGAGATCCTTGGATGTATCATTGTCATCTGAATCTTTTTAAGAGACTGTTACTTTTGAATGAACAACTTTCTGAGGCAAGAAAAATATTGGCAAATGTGCCAAGTCTTAGGGAAAGAATCACAAAATAGTCACAGACATTCAGCCTGCCAGCTGGTCCTGTTATGACAAGTTCCACAGGGCTCCCTACCTTCCTCGGTAATCACCACGAATAAGATGTCTACAGAAATGCTAAGGGCGTACAGAAGGAACAAGCAGCCCTTGTACAATGTCCTACCACAAGCATACGGAAAACAGCCCAGTTCTTTTTCCATTCATTTAACCTTAACCAGACTAGAATGTTAGCTACTCAGAGACTGGCCAGTAACAAACACCTACCGGGGGCTGGAGAGATGGCTCAGCAGTTATGAGCACTGCCTGATCTTCCAGATGACCTGGGTTCAATTCCCAGCACCCACAAGGCAGCTCACAACTGTCTGTAACTCCAGTTCCAGGGGACCTGACACCCTCAGAGAGATATACATGCAGGCAAAACACCAACGCACGTAAAATAGTTTAAAACACACACACACACACACACAGAACCAAACACAAAC